CAAGAACGAAACCTAGCATATACTCGCACATACACTACTCTGAAGATAAGATACAACCAAGACAGAAGGGCAAACTCATGTGATGTTGAGTTTGCATGCAGCAAAAGGTAACAGCTGTGCATTCTACTGGTAAACAGAGTGTCTGAAAAGGCCCTCAGTGTCTACATAAACAGAAAGGAGTCAAGTGAGCTTTGCCACTTAGTTATGGGTTATGTTGCCCTATTATTATTGGGTTTTAACGATGTGACTCTGGCTTGACCTTGTACCAAACCTCTGTAACGTTTTCCACACCCAACATTCCAATGCCAAAACGCAGCTCATACATAAGCCATTGCAGGGTGTGCTTACTGAATGTTCCCTGAATTCTGAATTTCTTGAACTCTCCCTAACATGTAATCATTTGCTGACTTCTCATGTGCAAGATAAATGCTCCAAAAATCAAGGAGTGTGAAAAGGTAACCCTCCCTTTTCTCCCCTAACACCCCTTCATTCCTCTAAAGGCAAACTTACTTCTCCTGCAGAATGAAAAACACTGATTAGGCTCTATTTAAAACTACTCATGGGACTTAGTTAAAAGATTTCTGTTTAAATCCTCTGAAAATGGTCTGACAAGTACCTGTTAAGATTCTAGCTCTACTGAATGCTGAGTTGAGAAAGAACTGCAAAGAGAAGAAAGAAACTGGGGATAAGGAGAAGCAAAGGGAATTTGCCTGATGGAGCCCCTAACAAGGTGGCTCTTAACTATTTAAGAGCCAAGAATTCAGGAAGCAAAAAAGAAAATATCTTTCTAGCCCCTCGCCCTGGGTCAAGAGGCCTAGAGAGCACTGCTGATTCCGTGTTCCAGGTTACTTAGACCTCTTAACAAGACTGGTCATCTCAAGGACTTGGAATACACTGCAATATTTTGTTGCAGATACTGCTTGCTTATATTCTTTTACAGCAACTGCAAGCATTACTATCTCGACACAGGCATGACTTGTTCTTCCATCCCCATGAGCTGCTTCTTGGAGAAGTAAGGCTGCATGGTTACAAAATTTGTCCCATGGGGCAAATGGAGAAAGTGCAGTTTTCTGGGTCTAGAGAATGTGTTGTGCTTCGGGGCCTGGGGGAAAAACAGACGGCATGCTTTGCAGGTGTTCTAGAGCTTTCCGGTCCTGCCTCATGTTCCCACTGGCTCCTAATGATCCACAACCGTGACTGAGCCAAAGGAGGGGGCAGCCTTGCCGAGAGAGCAATTTGAAAAAAATACAAGGTAAATAGTTGCCCTCAAACACATAATACAAATATTCACACGAAACAACGTCTATGGAAATACTGGAAAGTGGGTGAATGTCAAATATTCCAGACTGCAGATCAGATATGTGCCTTAGAGAATGGCAGGTTTGACTAATGATGCAATGTTCTGCTGGTCTACTCAGAAGTAAATGCTATTGCATTCAATGAGGCTAAATCGCAGGTAAATAAATGCAGGACAGCAGCCAAAATCAGTTGCACTTAAGTCTCCTTTGAAACAATGTTGTTAAGTTCCACTGATTTCAATGGAAACTAACACATCTGGTTTAATTATGATTGAACCCCATAACCTCAAGTAATGTGGCATTACATTCTTCACCATCACAGGCACATAATACAAATTCAACACAAATACATAACTTGTTTCCTGCGCTTTGAACAACAAAACATTGGCAAAAGCTTCAGAGCATGACACCTGGATTTTGTCTTTATAGGATACAATCTAGGGATTCCTACATTTCCCAGAATTGCAACACAGAGCAGTCCGTTTTAGCATCTTCCCTGTCTCAGCAGCACAAAAAACAAGAAACAGTGTGCAGCCCATTACCATGTGCTCCCCTGTTGCCTGGGTCCACTTGGGAAGCTAATGAGGAAGAGAAATGTTGAGCATCCTTCCACACCTAATAATAATAGAGATGAAAGATTACAGAGTAGTTACATGTACCCTCTGATCACTAGTGGAGGATTATCTGTATTCAGTCACAGATGATCTCTTACCAGGCCCTGACATACCAGATAGGTAAATCAAAAGGTTAGGTTCAATTCTGTGGAACAGCAACATTAGGCCAATATTGAAACATATGCCAGATTGTGTGGTGAGTAGTAGATTAAGGGGTAAAACTATACCAAGTCTAAGCAAATGGATGCTCAATGAATATTCCTCCGTATAAAATCATCATTGTCTCCAACAGATTTAGGCTGCAATAGTATTCATGTGAGCAAGTTTCCCTGAATCAAAGGAGGCTCTTGTATGCATGAGATTCTCACTGTTAGCCTAACTTTTTCCCGCATGTGTTAGTTTTACATCTATATGATAGGGTTAAGGAGAATTAAATACAAGATTTCATTCTGTGAATATATTCAACTTTAGACTGCCAGCAACAAACTCCCATTCATTCCCAAGCTCTTGAGAGAAGTGTTTTTGTTTTTCTGTTTTTCTCTTGTTTTTAATGTAGTGAAACACACAAATGTTTTCTTTGCCCCAAAACAAAGCAGGCTCACACAGTGCAACCTGGGTTTGCAGAAGTTTGGTGAATTGTTGAAAAAGTTGAGCATTTAAGTAATGCATGTTAAACACCAAAAGATTCAGCTGACTCCAATCCCACAGGAATTATTTAATATTTTACTAGAACCCTAAGGTCCACCAATCAGAAACAAACAATGGGCCAGGGGGAAAACAGCCAGGCATAAAATAGTGCTTTGAGTAGAACAACTGCAACCCATCAGCCATATTCCGAGATAACCTGCACATACAAACATGCAAGTTACTGTAGATCATATATTCTAAGAGAAAGCTTTGCATGAGCCATTCATAGTCATATTTTACAAGTGAGGATCACTAAGCTGAGAAGAAGCGATTAGCATTAAGACAACCATGGCAGAATCTTCTTTGATTTCTGTTACTTTTCATTTATTTCCAGAATCTATAGACTGCTTTCCAAACAATAATCAAAGCAGGTAACACATTACTTATTTCATTCCTATCCTTCAGCAGCTGAAACTCTACAATTGTCCATAAAACAGACAATACAACGAAACACCATATTTTCCAAAATGTACAAATTGAAAAGCAAATTAAAGGCAGTTAAAACAAGATAACTGTCAACAAAATGCAATAGTAAAATACAACAATAAACTTCAAAATAATGAATAAAACTAATCAGCAACCAAAACTACCCATTGGGAATCCCTTCTCAATTCACTGTGAAATACCCAGAGATCAAAATCTGTCCATCCTTGCTGTAAGGCATGAAGATTTGTGACCTGTAGGGTACTGTGGAAATGGAGAGTTAATGCTAGTTTGGTCCCCCCCCCTTCCCTTTTCCCTATTCTGCAGGCATCGGTGACCTCCAACATGTAAACAGATATTCGTCTCCAATCACACATGATACTGTGTGCAGCTCCTGCGAGATGGTTAAGCAATGCAAATTTCTCTGACCAAACACAGCTATAGCATCGGAATACTCACCTGCAACAATGAAATAAGCAACAATCTATAAAGGGATGTTTAAAAAACTCCTAGCTTTCTGCCTTTTCTTTCCCAATCAGGAAATAGACCACAACAACTGAAAACTCCAGAAATGCATATTATGTGCAGTTTAAAGCACTGCTTATAGTCCAAACTTCAGTTAACTGTTGTTCATTCAGCACAGGTGCAAAACAAAGAAAGAAGAAATAACAGTGAAGAAAGATGCTGTACTATGCAGAGAAAAATAAGGAAACCATCCCACTTCTACAAGGAACAAGTTTTTACCTTTTTATTAGAGCAACCTATGTGCACCTTTGGGAAAACCTAAAGCTGGCAAATTCGATCCATTGATTCTTCTTCCCTAACACACCCCATCCATCCTTTTGTATTCATAATCAATAAGTAACAAAGTGCAATGATTCTGTGTACTACACAGTCCAAATTGGCAACTTCATCATGCATTACAGATGTTATTTTACATGAACAGGATTCTGGAGGGAAGCTCATCCCTATATATGCTTAACACAAAAATATACACCCCACTGTCAAATGAGATTTACTCCCTTGATTGGAGGCTTATGTTTCCATCTGTGTTTAGCTGAAGTCACCTTAAAATCAACACAACTGTGGAGTTCTTATGGCTGGATTATAAAACTGAGACTGTGATGAATCATAAATGATACCGTTATCATTAAGGTCTCTAACATGGTGCCCATGAGTACCAATGCACCTATAAACACCGCTCTTGGCACTCATCTGACACCTTCTCTCTCCTGGTTGTTATTTAACATGTTTCTAATTGTTTTTCTTTTATGGGGGGAGTGGTTTGGTGTGCAGCAAAGTGTTTGACCCCTCGAACACCATCTTTCCAAGGGGTCAAAAGCAGCACCCAACTATCACAGTCGCTTTGCTTCAACAAATTAGTTTTAAGATACTACCAGTTTGCCTTCTGGAAATTCAATCTTTTGTGCTTGGCTGTATCCACTATGTTAGCTATTTAATGATTGGGCAAGCCTCTCCAACGTGGCCATTTTGTGAGAGTGCCCACCAAAGCCTCCCCAAATTCCCAGGTACCCAAAAGGTTTGGGGTCCCTCTAGCTAACTATCGCACTGCCAAGGGGTGGAAGTAAAATGCCTCCCTTTTCTTGCACTTTCCACTCTACCCCTCCAAAAAACAAAAGAAACCCGCAGCTCACGAGCACTTTCAAGCGCTGGAAGGCGTGCCAGCAATTGCAGTTGAGTAGCTAGAGTAGTCGCTCCGAAGGAACTAAATCGAACGAAAAAGAACTCAAACACGGCCAACAACTTCACCGGGGTGAATCGAAGCAGCTGCTACTCAAGCCTGCCTCAAAAAAAGCCACTTGCATGGCCGTGAAATTGTTGAACCAGCCTTCGGCAGGGCAGAAATTCTGATAGCAGGGCTATCGCCTTATTCCCCGCTCAGATCGTACATAAACAAAAGGAGCAGAAAGGCCCTCGCGCACCCCCCGCACACATCCGCGCATGCTGGGCGCCTTACCTTGGTGATGATGAGGGGCTCCCCGTGCTCTCTTCCTCCCTTTAACGTGAATCCCCAGGGAGCTCCGCCAGTCAATTGTACTTCCACCAGCTTGTACAGCTCACCTCCTCTCTGCTCCCCCATCACCAGCAGCGGCTGCTGGGGGTGCCCCTGATCCAGGAAGACGGGATTCAGCCTGGGATCTTTGTCCGGAAACCTCTCCGGGCCGCCGCGGAGCTCCACGTTCTCCATGGTTGCCTGCAACTGCCCCGGCTGCTTCCTAGTTTGAGCCAGCGTGCCGCTGACCTAGGAACCGCATACCTAACAACAGTTTGCAGCCTGTTCTCGGGAGGAGGGCAGGGGGTTGTAACCCCCTTGCACACCCAAGCTCCTCCTCTCTCCTCCTCCCGCTCCAGATCCCGTTTTATTTGAAACAGAAGACAAAACCAGAGAAGGAACCCGGGCCGCCTGGCGAAACATAAGGAAGCTGCCGCTACGGAAAGGCTCGGGCTAGGTGCGAGCGGGCGGATCAAGCCTCGGGAATGCATTCACGCGACGGGGGTTTGCCTGCTGGGTGGGAGGGACGGAGGAGCGGGGCTGACTTTGATATAGTCAAGTTGTTGAAAGGGCCCCAACAGGAGCCGTTGTTGCTCCGGTTTGTCCCAAATGAAGTAAAAAATAGGGGGCGAGAAGATAGGGCGGGGGAGGACGCCCAGAAGTGCTTGCAACTTTCCCCCCAAATTGATCGGTTTCGTTTGGGAGATCTGCGGGCGGAGAACGCGAAGCTCCAAACTAGCAAAGGGGCCGAGTTGAAACACGCATGTGGGATTGACGCTGCAAACAAAGCAGGGCACCGGGGGGGGGGGCGAGGGAAGCAGGAGCAGAGCAGGGAGAAGTCTGTTTCGCGCAGCAGCGAAATCGAGGAGTGTAAAGAGAATTTCACCGCTCCACGCTAGCTATGGACCCGCTCTCTCCCCGTTTTCATTTAAGCCTCCAACAAGCGAGACATCCACGTGCAGGGAGTCAGAGCCATCTTTAAAGGCGATGCAGCAGGGCAAGCCGTGCCTTCCAGCCGCGCTCTCCTGGAGTGGCTTACTCGAAAGTCGGTTTCGGGGTCCGGGGAGGGGATCCGTCGCCAAGTGGGGGCACAGAGAACTGCAGCCCTTCCTGCCTACGCTCCAAGTGAGCCGAGGGGGCGAAAGCGGCCAGTACTCCCCTCGAGGTTATCCCAGTGAACAACAGACCGGAGAACCTCCCCGCGCATTTTACAATGGCCTTTCCTCCTCCTCGCCCTCCCCGCCGGTGGCGCACAGCAGGCCTTCTCCGGCTGGTGCAAGTACAGTTTTGTGGCGAGAGGGGTTAGCGGCCTGGCTAGCAGCCCGGGAAAGCGCTTGGCGAGACTACCGCGGTAGCGGCGGGCCATTCGGCCACTACGAGGAAGGCGGCCATGGTGCCCAAGCCTCCGGCGCGCCTTGCCTGCGCTGGGCAGCGGCACAAAGGCAAGGCCGGGTGGGCGGTGCTGCAACGCTTTCTCGCCGACCTCCCACCTACCTGCAAAGCAGCCGCTGCAACATTTTTGCTGGCCGCCGTTTGATCTTCCGGGACCCTCTAGTGGCGGCGGCGGAGAGCGCCGCGCGCCTCAGAGCAAAGCCGCGCGAAGGTGGCGTGCAAGCTGCGCTACTCAGTGCGCCTGAACCCACGCTCCGCGTTAGCATCGCTTTGCGTGGAGTGTATCCCTTTTATTTTTGCGTTCATTTAGGCAGTGGTACATTTTGAAGTGAGACCGCTATAGCTTCTCAGGAGAGTCCAAAATGCAGGCAACTGTATTGATTTATAATTGTTTCTTTACGATTATTTATAAACAGCTTGCATCTAGACTTCGAAACAGTGTACAAAAATAAACACAAGCTCTAGCACATTAATCTGTATCCATAAGATGGTAGGTGAAGTTGTAAACTACAGAGGAGGCTTGTAGAAACAGATATATCTGCAACAGGCAACTAAAATGTATTGGCATGCGTCTAATCCTGGGAGAAACAGAGTGTTCGATGGCTGCTGTATTATTCTTAAATGCCATCAAGTTGTCTCCAACAGAGGGCGACCCTATGAGTTAATGCCTTTAAATGTCCTGTTCTTTTTGGCCCTGGTCAGGTCTTGTGAACTCAAGACTGTGGCTTTACCAGCTTCAGTTATTAGATTGCATAATAGGAGTGTAGCAGGAGAGTCATAGGGCTTACCATTTCCTGTGCTGTGGGGCAGTTCCCCGTTCCAGCCTCATGGAGCAGGGGAATTGTGTCATGCCAAGGCCAGTGTCATGCCTAGGAGCTCAGGATCTGCAGCTTCACTGGATGGAGCGAGCTACATCCAACTCTGTCCACTGTGTAACTTTGCTTGATGACTTCACTATATCAAAGGAAGGGCTGTTCTAACTCATGAACAGCCCACTTATGACTAGACATTGTCTTGATCAGGGCCATTCCATGCTTTTTTCACATGTACAAAAGGGCCTTGATCAAAATATCAGGGAACAGAAAACAATACCTTTTCAGAGATACATAATGATTCATATTAATGGGACCAGTGGTGGATATATCCCAAGACAGACTGCAAAGATTCTTCCCATCTCTAGGTTCCACGCGTTTCTCCTTCAGTTTCGGTATTTATGTTGCTGATAGAAGGCATGTGTCTCAGAAGCTGTCAATCTTGAGTTAAGCTCCCTTGAGTGTATATGTGACCTGTATACCATGACCTTCTAGCAGGATAAACTCTAGTCAACTTTCTGTGCTGAGTTCAGACCAATCCCAGTCAGGTACAATACTCTTGACCCCAGTTACTGCTGGGTGGCTTACAAGATGCTAAAGCAGCATATAAAATAGTTAAAAACAATAACATTAAAATCTTAAACAACATGATACAGAATACAAGATAACAAAGGTTCATGCTCAAAACAAAAACCAAGTATAACCAAATAATTAAAAACAAAAACAGTCAGATAAATCCACAACAAAATACAAATTAAATTAGCCAAATGCCTGTTGGAACAAGAAAGGTTTTTTTTACCTGCTGCCTAAAAGAAAACAAGGTCAGTGCTAGCCATATGACCCTGGGGAGTGAATTCCAAATTCAGCACCACAGCAGAGAATGCCTCCTCTCCTACCCTTTTCTCCCCTAATCTCATTAGAACTTCAGAACATCATCTACAGGTGGGCATTCATGGAGACAGATGTTGCCTCAGGTACCCAAGTCCCAAGCCATTCAGGGCTTTATATGTCAATGACAACACTGTGAATTGGAATGGGGCAAGAACAAGACAATCCAGCTGAGGGAGGACTGGTGTAATGCTTTCTCAACGGCCGGTCCTCATAAGCAACTGTGCTGCCCTGTTCTTTATTAGCTGTAATGTCCAGACTGACTTGGAAGGCAGCCCCATGTAAAGCTCATTACAGTAATCTGGGCAAGAGGTTACCAGTGCATGGATTACTGTGGCAAGGCTCCACTCATCCAAGTAGGAAAGTAGCTGAAGGATCAGATGAAGCTAAAGCTAAAGAAAGGTGCTCCTGGCCACCAAATCCACCTGGGACACCAGGGAGAGCTCAGGGTCTAGGAGCACCCCTTCGCTACAGACCTTGTCCTTTAATGGGAGTGCAACTCTGTCCAAGGCAGCTTGGAAATTTCCCAGTTGCACTGAGGGAGTGTGCAGCAACAGGGCCTCTCTTACCTTTATTCAACTTCAGTTTATTGGCCCTCCTCCAGTACATTACCAAACTTAGGCAATGGTCCATGACAGCCACCACCTCACCAGGATCAGATGAAAAGGTGATGTAGAGATGGGTGTCATCAACCCGAAATCATCCCACAGGGCGGCCAAGGCAGTCCCAAACCCAGGCCAGAAGCACAGTTGAAATGGATCTAGATAATCTGCAGTCTTCTGCAGCCTGATGCCCTCCAGATGTAATACAGTACAACTTCCATAATCCCCGGCCACCAGATCAGGGGTGACTGCCCTAAAAACAATCATTGCAACACCTGGTTCTACCTATACAAACTACCTGTGTTCAAAACTTTTGCGTCCTTAGATTTTCACAATTGAAATGCTAGAGAATTATTAATGTTACCTGACAATTTAAGGAGGGGCTTCTAGGTTGTTTAGGACGCCATGTGACAAAATGGGTTTACTCTAGATGTTGGTGACTGCAGCCTAAATTCCCAGACGTATATGAACATCATCAGTTATGCAGTTCAGTCCTAATTCCTATTTCAGCTGCTAATTTTGCATGTGATCTCACCCTCAGTTTTGGTCAGTGCAGCACCCTAACACCTCCTGAGCAAATCCTGACCCTCACTTTGATCAAGTGCTGCTTAGCTCTGTCCCTGCTCTTGCTGTTTGTTTTCCTTCCCTGCTAGACGAAGATTTAATTGGAAGGAGAGCATGTGGATGGTGGGTGGGTGGGTGTGGATGTGTATGAAAATACAAAAGGAGAGCAGGAGGAGAGAGGGATGTAGCTGTTTCTGTGTTTGATGTCAGAATGGTTATGTGCGTAACAAATGTACAAAGATATGGCAACTGCACATGTATCTATTAAAGGGCAGGGGAAACCCTTCTTTGTTTGTTTCAAAAATTTCAGCATACTTTATTACTACTGTATTGTTTCAGTGGGTTTTTTCTGATTTTATAGATGCCGTTCCTTTGCTCTTAATCTTTGGTGTTTAGTTTTACTCTAGCTTTTTTTACTTAAATTGCACACTGCCATGGGAGTCTTGCACAGAACAGTTTTTAAACACTTGAAAGTTTGGTTTAATGGCTTGCTTGTTCTATTGCTTTTGTCTCAGCATTCTGAAGTTGGGTATCTTCATAGAATTTACTGGCTACAGTTCTAGGAGTCAAGGCCATTTGCCTGTACACGACATGCTGACAGAAAGGTCTGATCCCTGTGTTCTTCATGTCACACCCACTGGCTGTGGCCATGTTGCACTAGAAGCATCTTCAAAGGAAGAATCCCATACTACATCTGGCAGGAGAGCTGAGGCTGACCAAGTAATGACTTGCCAAATGCTACCCAGTGAGTTTGGATTGCAAGCCTAGCAGGACAAGTGTATATGTTTTAGGTAGATAAAGTATATAGTTTTTAAAACAAAAAGATACCAGCATTTTTTCAAATCTATTGGATAGAACAGTGTGTAAATCACCCAGCAGAAAGACAGAGATATAAAAAAGAGAGAAGGGACAAATTGGTAAAAGTGGGATAACATTACAGAGACATTGTTAATTCAGTTATTCTGAACAAACATTTCTTTTTAAGTGGGATAACATTACAGAGGCATTGTTAATTCAGTTATTCTGAACAAACATTTCTTTTCTGAAAACTGGAAGTCACTACATTAAGCAGCAAACCAGCAAGAAGAAAAACTCTTCTCTTTATAGTAACTATATGTGGCTTTTTAGAGGGCCTCTGAGCAATGTAACATCATAGTTGCCACTAATAAATGCACATCAAGACAAGAAAAGTGCACTTTTAGTTGTCTTCCCACTCCCTGTTCCTTTTTACAAGAGAACTCTATTGCTGCACGGAGAGCGCTTTGAATCCTCAAACTTCATTACAATATTTACAACAGGCATTTTATCACAGTTCATACTGTCTCAGCACTACCTCAGACGTAGATTTCAAAGCAGCCTTCCCCCACTTCCCCTCTCATTTTGGTACACGGAAGTAACCTTTCGGCTAAATAATGATGATAGACTGAGAAAACAAACTTGTTCTTGTCAAAAGATGTGATCCCAAATAGTACATCTCTGGAAGCACAAAATGAGAAGGCGCTGTAAGGGTTTGCTCTCAGACTGCTCCAATTGTTTTGTTTTGTTTTTAAACTGAGATACTTACCTTAGGCAAAAGACATCAAATCCTGTAAGTTCCAGAAAGTATTGCCAACTTGACTCAAGGTGCAGTAGGTTGTATGTTTATATACTGTGGGAATTGCTGATGCTGTGAGCATGTAAACAAGAGCCTGCTCCACCAGACTGTCCTCAAACATGGGGCAAGCCTTATTTATTTACACTTTATCTTGGCCAACTTTCAGGGCAGAGGTTTGCCCAAGGAAAAATACAACAGTAAAACCCCTTAGAAACATACAGTAGTAAAAACACAGTAAAAAACAGCAACAGCAGCAAACACCATTAAAAAACAAACCTAGAACAGACAACTGCAGCCATAATTCAATAAAGTACAGTCGGAGGAAGGCCAAAATAAGTAAGCAAGTTTTCAGAACTTTCCTAAAAACTGCATTGATGGGGCCTGGTAGACTCCTACAGCAACTTATTTCAGATGAGTATGTCCACTGTAAGAATCCCCTCTCAGGTGGACTTAGCAGGACCAAGTGGACCGAATTCAGTGTCCATCTTTTTAACAGTCTACTGAGAAGGGTGGGCTGCTTCCATAAGGCTACAGGGAGCACTGAGGCTTTGTCAGGCTCAAGATAAAGCAGCTTCCTTTAGCTTTGGGACTGGATATCAGAGTTGCAACAGCCATTTTTGTTCACAGTGTTCTATTTGACTATGAAAGTATGCATAGAAGCCACATCTGTGTTTAAATGCTATAATAATTGTTTCTATATGAAAGCACTACAAGGGAAAAGTCTCTGTCCTGCCTTCCTATCATATAAACTGTTGGATACCACATAATCCATCTTTCAATAGCGTATCACATAATTGCATCACTACTGTATGGCTCTTGAATTTACAAGAGCTGGACAGGACCGCCAAGGACAGGACATTTTGAAAGGTGATCTTCACAAGGTTTCCAAGAGTGGGAGGTGACAGCATGTAACAAGAAAACCATGTGACTTCATGACTACGGGAAGTAAAGGATTCAAGATTTAAGACTGATCTCAGGGTTGGGTCTAATACCCTTAACATGTATTAAGGACAACTTGCGCTGCAGACTCAAAACACTCACTTGGATGCAGGTTCCACTGATCTCAATGGAAATTACTTCTGTGCAGACATGCATAACCTGATATGCAACAGTTACCCTAGTAAGTTCTAACTGCCTCATAACTGGTGATGTATCTTGAAATGTCTGCATAGTTGGATTGGTCTCTTCCCAGCACTGGCATCTATAATCAGTGTGAAATCCTATGCATATTCAGACAAGAAAAGTTCAGGCTAGAAAAGTTCAGGCTCCCAGCAATCGCCAGACATTCCCCCCCCCCTCGCCCTTTGTTTAAACATGCATAGGATCTCAGCATTAAGCAGACAAGCGAGCCTAGCTAATGTGCTTGTTCTTCCCTCCTTTTCCAAATCAGTGCCAGTGGCTCTAAGGCTCCCAGTTATGCTGTTTCTGTGTTTTAACCACACAGATGGGGAACTGCCTTGCAGAACCATGAACATTTGATGGTTAATGTGTGGTTTCTTCGCAGTCTCTCTCTTCCTACTCTTCTTTTGCATAATGAATGGATTAAGTGGACATGGGGGTTCAAATCTGTTCTGTTCGGCTTGCATACATACAGAATAAATGAATACTGCTACTCCGGATTAACTGTCATTGCAAGGATTGATTGAGGTGTGATGGGCTGCCTGGGATTCCCTCCTTCTCTTAAAAAGTCACGCTTTGATGACTCGAGTCGGAATTCAGTAACAGCCTCCAAAGCAACTTTTTAGCGCTCCTGAATGCGCATTTAAACTCAACGCCCTGTGAGCGACAGGTTATCCTCAAGCTACTTCGTTGTTACTAGACCGTGGCTTGCAGAAGGGAACTTTAATCGAGCTTTATTTATGAGAGCAAGCAGGCCTAGATGCCATGCTTCGTGATCAAAAGGCAGAGTACGGATCAAACATAGGCATAAACGGAAGGGAAGGGGCCTTTCTTCTCTTCTGTTTACCATGCGCTCAATGCTACAAAATGCACGCGCGCGCTCTCTTTCTCTCTGATTCTCAAGCAGAGCATAACAAACAGGCTATGCGAGGCAGCAAAATTGGGAGGGGAGCCCTGCCAATCAATGCCTGCGCGCAAAGGGGCATGCTTTGGATTAGGGTTTGCCCGCTCTCCGCCCTGGCGAAGGCTGAGCGCGTGGGAATGGCAGCTCGAGGGGATTTAGCAGCGGCGCCGCATGATCCGCCGTCCCGTGACTCTCCTCCCGCGGAGCTAGTGGGAAAACGACCGGAGGAAAGCCTGCGAGTCCGCGCTGGGAGGCGAAGAGCGGCTGCCGCGCCGTCCTCTCGCGCCGGCCATGGCCTCTCCCAGGCTGGAGACGTTCTGCTGCCCCAACCGCGACGCGGCCACCGAGCTGGTGCTGACTTTCCGGCCGGAGGTCTTCTGCGGGGTTTGCCTGGGCAGCGCGTCCGTCGGCCTGGTGCTCAGCGCGCTGCAGCTCCTCCCCAAGAAGGGCCAAGGCCCGCGGAAGATGCCGAAGGCGTCCTCCTCCACCACCATCCTGCTCTTCATCTCCGCCTGTGACATGCTGGGCGCTCTGGGTAAGGAGGCCTGTTTGCCTTGCGAGAGACGAGGCGGCGGCAGCGCCGGGAAGCGAGCGCCTCTGCCCCTCCTGGCCTCGCAGGGATGCTGCAGCCCGGGAGGGAGCGGGAGAGGGAGAGCGAGGACGAGCGGATCTGACGCGGCATCCACGGCCCCGGTGACCCGAGCGCAGCCCGGGCTTCTCCTGTGGGCGCAGCCTTGCCGAGCAGTCCTGGGCAGCGTTAGCCCGATGGGGTCCGTGGCGCTGGCTTCTGCCTGAGCACTGAATGGCAGCAATAAACCCAAACTCTTTCCCAAGAGGTCCGTGTAAAACTGCGTCTGACTCTTTTTCTGATGACTCCTGCCTCTGGGCTATTCCTCTTCTAATTATATACTTGTTTTCAAAATGAAAAAAAAAAATCTGTCGCAATTTCTGAATTCTTCTCACTTTATATTTTCTTCGTTTTTGTTTTCTTCAATTGACCTGGGAGGGTGTTAGTCCAAGCACCTTGGCATGAATGGGATTCCAAAGTCCTTCTGGAAGTCCTTACAGTTAAATGTTCATTGTGCAATTGCATATCCAAAGGGCTCCAGAGAGAGTTGTGCCAATTCTAACATGAAGTGTTCTTGAGTAGTAATCATAGTTTATTCATTTGTAAAACCATAAGCCTTAATGGAGGAGTTATTTTAAAATACAAAAAGATAGGCACAATGCCAATTTTTAGATGCACCATAATATGGTTTTAAATGGCGCTTAAACTCGTGAAATGAATGCTGGAAACATAATTTGAAAATGCCCATATGATGCATTATATGTTGTCCCTCTTTTCAATCAAATTAGTACATAAAAAGGTGATTATTCAAGCAGAACAGTTTAAAATTTATGGTACAGGCACACTGTCATTGGTGGTAGCCCTCAATGGCAAAGACAAATTTGACTCCCTCTAATGTATGAAGCCATCTCAGTAACTGCACATGCTGGTATTAATGTTTCTGGAGCAGAAAGAACTCCTTGCAGCTTTGTAAGGTTGCACCAGACAAAACTGGCATCAGAAAGAGAACCATGGCTTAAATGACGCACAACTCTAAAGGCACAACCTGTGTCCATTAGGAAATTTCAGTGCCCTGGCTTCGGTGCTTGAACATCTCAGCTGGCATGTGTATTTGGCATGTCCGCACTTTGCCCTTAGAGCTGGCACAGTTCCTCTGTGTCACTGTGGTTCTAAAGTGGCAAGTGCTACCCCTGGTGTAAGGGGGAGTAGCAGAGTAGCAGCTGCTGTCCCAGGATGTGAGACTTCCAGGTGGTGGCCCAGCCCCTCCTCCTCCTCATGAGCAGGGAAAATACTTCAGTGACTGAAATTGGCCATCTGGGTGTTTTGGAAGGCGCGGGAAGCATGGAGGCAATCCTTGGATGACCATGTTCGTTGGAGTTCAGATGGTTACAGGCATCTACATTGGATGGTGTCCTAAGAGCACCGCCAGAAAAATAGAACTTTGCACCTCCAGTAATTATTGAGTTCCTATTCTATCATATCTTCAATAATAGATTTTTTTTCTTGAAAATGAAGAAGCAGTGGGAAAACAACTAGAAGACATCATTTGGGGCCTCCAAAATTAATGAATGATTTAATTCAACCACAGAATAAAGCTGTGCTTCATAGCACCCAAAATCATGGTTTGGAGTTACATGAATGAGTCTTAGACTCATATGGTTCTTTCCCTTGCTTGAGTGCTCAAAATCTCTCTTCTTTCACTGCTATGGTTTGAGTTTGCCCATTAAATCCATTAACAACCCATTTTATACTTGAAGCTTCCAATTCTGATTTGGACTGTAGGTAGAAGCCCTAGTTTGCCAGTTTGGTCTGGTGTTATATGGGAACCCAGGCCTGTTTGACAGTAATCAATACAAAGAGGTCTGTGTACTTATATTCTGTAGGATACCATTCTTATTTCTCTTTCCTCCACCCCCTCATTTTTGAAACCTAAGAATTTGTCCCTCTGTGTTTAAAACTGAATAGACTATTCTCTCATTGCACAATTTCCTGTGTTGTTATTTAGTGCCCCATTGTTAACCTCACCCCCAATATTTAGTGTTTCATTTGAAAGTCATAATTAATATGTTAAGTCTACTGTTGACTGCAAGGAGATGAAAGAATTAGTATGCGTTGCTGCCAAAGGTGTTTCTTCACCTATTGATTGGATTTCTCATTTTCTATGATGGTAATGCAAATATACATTTGACTCTTTTCTGTCCTATGCGTTTAGTTCACATGGCAATAATTCAAAGGCAGGAGACAAGGCAGAATTGTACCCTGATGAGAGAACTCAAACAGAAAATGTGTGGTCATAGCAGCTCCAGGCTGCAGTGCCACATGCACACTATGGAATGTGGTTGAAGCCATTGAGCTTTTAATCCTTGAATTGTCTCAATTCATGAATGAAATCCATAGTTTGCTCTCCAGTTATTCACATGACCATGACCGCAACTTGAAGTCTGGGACAGCAGACAAGCATATGATTCACAGACTCTGAGAACATTTTGACTCTTTTGTAAGAATACAGCATGCAAGAACATATAGGAGAGACTATTCCTTACTAGGAGTAGACTTTCCACTTACCTAAAACATTGGTGTGATCATTTTTTTATTGTGCAAAGATAATGGATGTCCCAGTTCTCCCTTGAAATGAAACAGTACAGCACGTTTTATAAAATTTGGAGAAAACTGTTAAAATACAGTGAGCCAGAATGATAGTCTATTAACACTGATTTCCCCTGCCCTACTTCTTTATAGGTATAATCTTCAGATCAACAGTCTGGATAGGGTTCCCAAGCTTTGTAGGAAACATATCTGTGGCGAATGGGACAGATGTTTGGCCTGCTGCCTTCTGTGTGGGTAGCGCGGTAGGTATAAGATATGGCTGTGCTTCAAACAAGTGACCTGCTGCTCTGTTGCATTGCACTCCTTGGCGCATCCCATTTTATCTTGCTGTTCATCTGAAGTCAGGGCAGTATAAAAAGGCTTATTCCATTTATCCTTGCAACAACCTGGTAATGCGAATTAAACTGAGAGTGAGAAACTGGCCCAAGTTCCACCAGAGAATTACATGGCTCCATGGGAATTCAAACACAGGTTTTGTGAGTTAAAGTCTAGGGAAATCTAGTCCAGGGGGAAAACAATCTGGGATGTCGCCAGCATTAGTCCTACTTAGAGTAGGCCTATTGAAATGATTAACTTTGGGTACAACGCCTAGCATATGTTTGGATTTTGACTACTGCCAATCCCAACCAGCATGGACACTGGTGAGGAATTACAGAGATACAGAGTTACACACACACACACACACACACACACACACACACACAATATTTTGTAAGATATCCTGAGTGCTTGTCTGAAGGGATATAAATGCTTGTAATAATAAATAAATAAATAAATAAATAAAACCCAAAACTTCTGGGAGCATTAGGTTGCCTACTCCTGAACTATGCTATAACTGCATTTCTTCAAACAAATCTGCCCTTCTAGCACATCCAGTTAAACGGAGGAGAACTAGGTAGGACTAGTAAGGACATCCCAGATAAAGAGGTACCTTTTTGAACTGGTTCCACACAAAAGCACTTTGACTGTTACAGACCAAAACATTTTGATCTGAAATTCTGAAATATTTATTCTTATGAGTTTGCAGTCTCTGCACCCCCACTCCCCAGCTTTGCCCATGGTTGTATCACTGCTGACTAAGGTGATAAAGATTTGGCATAAGCCCCCAGTAGGAGATACAAACCATGTGAGATGCACCAGCAGTACTCCTTTTAAATAACAACAAATAATAATAATTGTGGTTTTCCGAATATAAAAACGGGATTCAATATAATGAAAACGCAGGTGATCAATTAAGGCTGTGAATCCTGAGCATATTGAGCTAAAGGCCATGTGCAGTATTGGGCAGCACAGTTTTTTAGCTGGCCAGCAGTCTCGGGTGTCTGCTTGCTTGCTTGCTTGCTTCCCTTGCATCAGGGTCAAGAAAAACATTTGGTTTTTAGAATTGTAAGCAGCATGATAAAAAGCATGATTGCCTGCAGGTAAATTAGACAATAGCTGCTGGAGATAATGTCAATTTATTGCTTATAAAGAGATAAGGTGAAAAATACAAAGAGAAATGGTGATAAACACCAAGAATTCCAGGAGCTGAAGAGAAAGGGTGGAATGAAGGCCTCAGGCCAATTTTTAGGGGAAAGTATGCAACAAAAATCCAGCTCCGGTGAAAAGAATGTCAGGACTTGTAAACACAGACAAGAAAGATCAGTTATCTAAGGTCTAGTTGTGAGGGAAAAATGTGAACCATCTTCAGATAAAGGCCATGGAATTTAGCTAGATTTGAACCTGTGCATTCCATGTTTCTGTTAGCGTTTTATGAAGAATGCAGGTTTACAACACATATAAAACCTTTCTCTAAGCAGGACATTAAGAAATAGCCATTCGAAGTAGTTCAAGTAAAAATAAATTTACCCCCACACAGAAATACCCTGATCTAGTTTGGTAGGTTACTCACCCACATCTCTAGCTTTCAATTTGGCATTCTCCAAATGTTTTGGACTGTAACATCCAGTATTCCTGACCACTGTCTGTACTGGCTGCGGCTGATTTGGGGCCAAAACATCTGGAAGGCATCAAACTGAAGAAGGCTGCCCTAGCTAGATATGTAAGTGAATGATGCTTGCACAGTTACTTTCTCAATCTAGATTTTAGGCCATATACCTGTTAAAAATATATGATGCTCCTCTAGCAGAAATTATGAAAACAAGCATTCAACAAGCTTGTTTCATGATCAATTTATTTAAAACATCCTCTCCTGCTTTTTGTGGGTGGAAGGGAGATTCTGTAGTAAAAGGCAATGCATATATCTGCATGTGTAATAGTTGTAGAACTAAGATTTTTAGAATTTATTCCATGCATACTGAGTGAGAAGTTTTCGGCAGTAATTATTCTGGATGTAAAAGTCTACATACCTTAGTGAAGACATGTGGATGTAATGTTCCAAAGTTAAAAGTGACGATATTTTGATCATCCTTCTGCTCTAAATAGCTGTGACATAAAGGATATTTTCTCCTGTTACAGATGTGGATACAGCTCTTTTACAGTGCTGGTTTTTGGTGGCTGTTCTGCTATGCTGTAGATGCATACTTGGTGGTCAGAAGATCAGCAGGCCTAAGGTACAAAATTGAAACTGAATCAATTTTAGAAACAGATCAATCTTTTCAGGAAACATGTTTGTATCAATGTGCCTGTTAATCTGCAGTTTCAGACAATTGCTTGTCTAATTAAGATCAGTTTACCTAAACACTGTTTATAATATCTGTCTGCTTACAGCTGGCTTCAGCTCTAGTCACCTAATTTCTTTACTGAAGTTTTCCAGATATCATTGTTTGTAATTAAACTAAACACGATAAGCATTGCTTGCCTATACATCTTTGGAACCGGCTACCTGAAAGATTGCTTTCTTGCATATGAACCTGCCCCAGGTTTTAAGAACTTCAGGGGTGACCCATCTCTCACTTTCAGACTGTTTGATGGCAATGTTTTATTCGATTGCTGTGCTTTTTAACGGTCCTTTAATTTATTTGTCTTAACTGAATTTTTATTGTAAAGTACTGCTAGCTACCTCGAATATTATCTTGGTGGGAAGACAATATAATAAATAATAAATAAATGCAAGAGGTGAACTTCAAGATCCAATTGGAAACCCATTCCAAAATGTATGAAATAGTTGTTCCAAAGAGCAATGGCCTTTCTGTTCAAAGGGAGGAAGCTAAACAATCGATCCCTAATGTTTACACGGAAATATCCTCACCTTCATTTTCTATGTAATGTTTTCCCAGTACAATTGTGTTATATCACATGATGACGTGGGGTTTGGCAGTCCTACTGTGCGTAGAGGGAATTGCGATGCTCTACTACCCTTCGGTTTCTAGGTAAGCATGTCTAACTTTGCAATTCACTTCTGTGATTTGCTTAATGTTCTTATAGATTTTATGTGGCAGAAGACAGAGGTGATTAGGTTCAGGCAGTTGGTTGAGCTCATGTTTCTTAAGTAGTCTACTAATTATACCGCAGCTCTGCCCCATTGATTTTAGGACTGGATGGAAGGCTGCTTCTGGATATGCAGCCATGAAGGAAAGGCAAGTATTGTTGTACATTGCCTAGAGACTTTTATCCATTGGGTGATAATAGAAATGAAATAAATAAATGGCATATTCTTACTGTGGGTTTGTTTTAATGTCTGCTTAAATAAGCTAAGTGAAACATGAAGCTAGGTGTTCTAAGGCAGTCCAATTTACTTTTGTGCTTCATTGTAATGTGGAAATTAAGAGGAACCATTTTAAAGAGAAGAGTGAGGCTGATGAGTGCTTTTCTCAGCCCACACATTTTCTACTGCAAATACGAGGTAGTTTTGAGTCTCTCTACCCTCTCACGAGCACAACTCCAGAATTTGGAGGCCAAATTGTAAACTTAGGGAGGGCAAAGTTAGGAAGATGGGGAGAGAATTTGCAAGGAATGAGTGTGTGTGTGTGTGTGTGTGTGTGTGTGTGTGTGAGAGAGAGAGAGAGAGAGAGAGAGAGAGAGAGAGAGAGAGAGAGAGAGAGAGAAGAATAAAGGTCACATTTATATGTTAGACACATGTCCTTTTCCCAAATTCTCTCATCATTTCAGCAAGTTCAAGTTTGGGGCTGTTTGCCAACATAATAGAAGCATCAGTTCTAAATCATGTGAAGTACTAGTTCAGCACAGGTTAGGCCTCATCTGGAGTACCATGTCCAGTTCTGAGCACCACAGTTTCAGAAATATGCAGACAAGCTAGAAAGGGTTCAGATGAGGGCAATAAAGATGATCCAGGGACTGGAAACAAAGCCCTGTGAGGAGAAATTGAAAGAACTGGGCATGTTTACCCTTGAGAAGAGAAGACTGAGGGAAGATATGATAGCACTCTACAAGTACTTGAATGGTATCACAAAGAGGAAGGACAGGGTATCTTCTGATGTAGGACTCAGAATAATAGGCTCAAGTTCACAGAAAGCCAGGAAAAGTCAGGCTAGATATCAGGAAAAATGTCTTGACTGTTAAAGCAGTAGGACAGTTACCTAGGGAGGTGGTAGGCTTTCCCACACTAAAGGCATTCAAGATGCAACTCTGAGAGGGAGTGTTTAACTTGGTGTCCTGCACAGACCAGCCGATGGACCGTTCACCCCTTTCCAACTCTACTGTTCTATGTTTCTACTTGTGCATCATTCTAGGCTATGGTCTAGCGCAATGTCGAAGCAGCAACAAGCCACAGTGAGCTTGGGGATCACATTTCATCATTTCCTTTCTCTTCCATGTGGCCAGAATGAGGAATTCAGATGCTTTTGGTTAGTTCAGTTAGCCACAGCTGGTTGCTCACATGGCACAAACAAATGAGTTTAAGTGAGAGTTTCTAAACTTCCTCTTTCAGTCATGTAGGGAGGTGGCTCGTTGCAGCTTGTTACACTAAACCATCTTTTACCATGCTGTGTAAACATGATCACTGTCTATTTTGGCTCAACAAAGCAATGTTCATGGTATGAAGGAAGCTAATGACATCATTTACTATATTACATTAGTTGACTGTTTTTAATTTGCATCCATGTATCTGTAAATTCCTCTAGGAAGCAAGTTGTGGAAACAATTTCCTCCACTTCCAAACAGAAAATGATACAAATTATAATTGTGTTAGTTTAGGGCATGTGTGTGTGTTTGCAGAGGTGGGAACTAGGAAGCTGTTTATTGAATTGTTTAATACCAGCAGATTCTTAGAACACTGCAATGCTTTTAAAAAATCTTTTTATTCTTGGTTGATTTTAAGACAACATAATTAGCAAGTCTGAAAAGCTTGTTCGTATGTAGGGTGCCCTGGCATGAATGGCTCAAAATACAAAGCATATGAAAAGGGGTGGCTTTGGAAATACTGCTGCATGCTAGTTCTTCAAAATGGCGCCTCTGTGTTCCCAGCCAGCCTGTAATCTCAGCAAAAAACTGGCACGCTTCCTATGTGAGCGACATGTGTAAAAGGCTCAGCTTGGGCAGCAGTGAAAACGAATTCAATGCTCTTTGTCCCTTCCCTTCCCAGTTGTGAAAACGGCCTGGAGCATGCGATTCCTCATTATGTCACGACATACGTTCCACTGGGACTTGTTTTGGTGGCCAACCCAATCCTTTTCAGTCGAACAGTAACAGCTGGTAAGATTCCAAAGGGCAGTGAGGTTTTGTGGATATGAATTAAACATTTATTTATTCATTTATTGTGTTATTTTTATCTGTTCAATCTTTTCTGAATGGACTACAAACAGTAAAAACACTCTTCCCTGACATGGTACCTTCCATGCATTTGAGACTACAACTCTCATAATCCCATAGCTAGCTGGGGGATGATAGGAGCTGTGTTCTTACACATTTTGAAGGCACTAGGCTGGGGAAGGTTGACTTAAGGGAAGGTTGACACAGTCCAACATAATCATAAACAGAGCTGTGTTACTCACTGGGAGAGAGCCCAAAATCTGTGGCAGAGCTTCTGCCCTCTGTGAAACCCTGCCAGGTAACTGCAGCTGAAGGAGAAAAGCGCCTGAGGCTTTTAAAAAGCCTTCTTGCATCCTTCCAATGACCTCAGTCAGAAGAAATTTATTAGGCCAGCCCTAGGCCATGTCAGGGGCATGTTGGGAGAATAAGAGTTCTTTAGGATCCTGTTTTTCCACAGCCTTCCTGGCACATCTCCAGCACTCCCCATCTCTGGTTCCACTGCAGTCAGAGCCCCACTGGTAGTACAGCGATAGATTTCTGGATTTTTGCAGCAGGGATTTTGACAGCTGCAGCAGAAACCCTTTGACCATGGAAAGGCAAAGGCAGAGAGAACATTCTCAGTCTCATACCCAGAAATCCTAATGGATCTGTTCATGGAAATGGATCTGTTCCATGTGTGCGTGCAAGCACCTGTGCATCTTTATGAAGCTGTGTAAGAAATAGGGGAGTGGGTACCAGGAACATGTAAAATATAAATCAGGGGTACTTTATATATATATAAAGATCTATCTATCTATCTATCTATCTATCTATCTATCTATATATATAGAGAGAGATCTTATATAAGATCTCCACCATGCATGATATATATATATATATCATGCATGGTGGAGATCTTCTCAAAATGGTGACTCTAGACTTGTGTAGGCAGTCCCTTTCCAACATCAAATCCTAAGTGGGCAGCTTGTTTTGTAATCCAGTGAACTGCAGCAAGAGCAGTATCCTTGTTTGCAATTCTGCCTTTGAATCTGAGATGCAACAGATTTTCAGCAACATGGATTGGATGGCAACACTTTTTTCTTGTTTTTTAATAGCATTTTATATTCCTTTCTGTGCTTGCAAGTGGAAATACACCTAGATGCTCAAATACAGGTTTTTATGTAGTCCATTTGGTAAGGACTTTCTGTCAAAAGTGTTCTGTCAGATTCAGTGAATGCAGTTATTGCTGCAAAAATGGGTCGCAGAATCTTTTGGGAGTACTACAGCTAACCCAGAAGACACCTTATCTAGTACTGTGTTTCTAAGAGTTACTTTAATATCCTTAACTAGGTCTGAAGACCATTTTTTTATTCTTTTTAGAAAACTTTCAGAGAGCAGCACTCTGCTGCACTGAGATTTGATGCAGAGCTTCAGTGCTACAGTTTTATTCTTTGCATTTTTACCTCCTTCTTCTTGAAGACTGCAGCTATAATAGGAGTAGATTTATATGTTCTATAACTTCTTTTGATGTCTATAGATCTTCTGGAAGGTGTCCAGTTTCATGATGTCATTAACGGGCAAGTTTAGTTCATGACGCGCTTGTCCTATTTCAGTTCTATGTGGTTACTTATCCATTACGATTCCCATGCCTCTTTCATATTACTTGAACACTCCCAATTTTCCGTAGGAATTTACAGAACTGATTTATTCTGTAGTATGGCTGTTCTCTCCTGTCTCAGTGTTTGGTGAAGCAGACAATTAAATGCAGAACAAAACTACAAAGCGTGGTTGTGGGGATTGTTACACCGAATTAATACTCTTTCTCTCCTTACTGTTGTCCATCACAGTGCTTTTACACACGTAAAAGACTAGGTTCTGTGCATTTGAAATCAGGATTGAAGATATTTCCAGTGTCATTATATTTTTGCAAGGATTTGACTCCTTTACACTCTTGCACATTACATAACAGACACATGCTACTTATGGAACCAAATTTTCACCTGGTGCTGATCTTCTGAGGAAATGGCAGTGCACTATTGACTTAGATTTGGGATCTGTCCTCCAGAATGCTGTTCTCTGCAAGCATTATAGAGTGAATAGTAAGAACATTTCAGGAAGGCTTCCACAAAAGAGCAACACAGTAAACAGCTTAGGGCCTGGTTACCTGAAGGACGTCTCTTCCCATATGTGCCTGCCTCCCCTTAAGATCTGGGGCAGATGGCCTTCCCCGGTTGCGCTCCCTGAAGGAGATTAGGAGGCTGACTACCCAGAGAAGGGCCTTCTCCGCGGTGGCACCTCAATTGTGGAATTCGCTCCCCAGAGAGGTTTGCCTGGCGCCATCACTTTATTCTTTTCTGCTCCAGGGCAAACCCTTTTTATTTTCCCAATGTTTTAAGACCCGACTGTTTTAATTGTGCTTTTATTAAATAAAATTGCTAAATTTTATTATTGCTAAATACAGACACTGCATTTTGATTTTTTTATATTTTTTCCCTTACATTTTGTATTGTTAAACTGTCCTGAGACTTCAGCAATGGAACGGTCTACAAAAGTTTTAAATAAATAAATAAATTTGTCTCCATCTTTAAAATCCCAAAATAAACCATATTGTTAACATGGCGTTACCTCTGCTTCCTAGTTGCATCTTTACTGAAAGGAAGACAAGGAATCTACACAGAGAATGAAAGACGGCTGGGAACAGAGATCAAAGTTCGCTTTTTCAAAATTATGCTGGTGGTCATTGTTTGGTAAGACAAAATTTTCCACCTTGATGGAATACTGTCGTAGGGCAAGCAGATCCATAGGCTGGTTTTATATTAGCTCCATGCTTGAAAGCTAACTTTATTGATACTTAAATATTGCAATGAAATTTTGACTAAGATCAAAGTATGTGCTGTTTCTATTATCTACTGCTACTGCTTAAAATTATTTTCCTTATGTTGTCTATAACAATGACTCCTCTCTTTTCATCCACTGCAGCATGACATATTATGAATAGCAGTGATCCAAATATAACCCAACAATTTACAATCCTACAGAAGTGTAGAATAGTAATGTTACTGCTTTACTTTTTTTCAAAAGAGGGAGATTTTGTGCCTTCATTAATAAAAAACTATGCTGCTACTGCTAGTTAGCATTAAAGTGTGTACACATTTGCAGAAATGTAGTTTAACTGTGCTTGGAAAACCATTGGATATATATAAATCAGCCTGTCTTCCTCCTTATTTTTATGGTGATATCAGCTGGTCATCAAACATTATAAATGAGGGACTTCTGTTCTACCTGGAAATACAGCCAGATATCAATGGAGGCCTTTTGAAAAACATTCGAAATGCTGCACTGATCACATGGATTATAATGGTAAGGGCATCCTGAATTTTGGGAGCTTTTTAGGAGCATAATCTGCTGATACACTGGCAAGGTTACTAGCTCATGCTGAACCTAAGGTCTCCTCCATCTGTTGGTTAGATGCATCTGTGTTCTTGTCAGTTCCAAGAAAAAAGACGATACTCTCTGTGATGCACATGTGCGCAGCAGTTGTGGCCTATGTGGATGTCCACTGAGTTTTCTGCATCTCCACAAATTGTGCTTCTGCAACCTCAGCTGTTAATTAGCTGGGGAGAGTGTGATTTTCTTGGAGAGAATGATATGTGGTAATTCTCTAGCCCTTGGGAGTAAATGGCACATACAATAGCATGTGTGCTCCATCTCCATATGAATCATGGTCTCTCCCTGTCATGGTGCTCGGAAATTCCTCCTGAGATAAATTGTCTGAGAGAGACCAGCGTCTGAATGGAGTGAAGGTTATAAGAGGATAGAGACTGGTCACTACCATCTCTTATACAAGACGCTGCAAAACACCTGCCCATCCATGCATTTCAAAGGAAAAGTTTAGCCGATTAAAAAGAAGTACCTTTGATTATTATTATTTCTCTTTTTAAAAATACTTTACGTAAAGTTGTTATAAAATGTGTCTTAAAATCTTAAGAGGCATATCCATTTTCCTCCTGTGTAATATAGGAAGTCTCTTTTTAGACGATGTCAGCTGTGGCACATGCATGCATCCCCTAATTACAAAGAAAGTATAGGTCTTTCTTTAAACATTTGCTTTATGTCCACTAAAATGGACATGATCAGTGAACTGCAATTGTTGAAGTTGGGCAGCAACCCTACTGAAAAGTTTCTGGTGCATGTAAAACTATCTGAATGGGAATGTGGAGGATGCTGGAAGAGGAAGTTGTGCAAAGGAAAGAGTGGACAGAGAAGTCTTCCAGGGTGAGAAGCGATAGAGTACACAGAGAAGAGAGCTGTTCCCTGTGCAGAAGTGACAACCCCCGAGGTTCACATAGTGCTTTGAAATCCCCTGGCACCTCTTCTGGCCTTTGGGAAAAATGTCTTAAATTGCTTTCCTGCTTTCATCCCTGCTGCCTCATTATAGTATTTAATGTATCAATGCGCAGTTGTCCTGTCACATCCAGGTTGGTTCCTGATTGTCTCTCTGCAGGCCTTCCCGTGGCTTTGCCATTTCTCTCTCTTGCACTAAAGCAGCTGTCATCCTTATCATGACTAACATTAGTTGCACTGTCATCTGCTTCCTGCTCCTTCTACTATCTCTTACTCCTGCTCTTTCTCCTCTCCCACAACATAATAGACCCTCAATACTTCCTTTTCTTCACATGTTATCTGCTTTATGGGCTTCATTTCCTTCTATTGTTGTGGACTATCTCTACACTACACTCATCAGCTTATCCTCCCCCCCTTCTTTTGCAGTTCCTTGTGTTTATCTACTTCTTTCTGCCTTTCTTTTCTGCACAATGGGGTGGTGTTACTTCACTGGAAACCCCAGGAAACTGCATGACTGTTCTCACAAAACAGTCATATATGGATCTACTGAGAAGCCCTGCTGTGTTCTGTGCTGCTGACTCCCAAAGAAGGGAATAGAGTGTAGGATTGCAGTTTGAGATGCTTTTAGTTCCACCTCCCTGGTTGCTAACAGTTCTCCCTTCACAATGAGAAACCACAAAATGTATCTAATGCTAGACGGTGTTATGGGAAACCAGGCACAGTCTCACAACTAGGTTCTTTTTCAATATTTTGTTTACTGATGTTAGCGAGGATTCACATGGTCCCATTTGGTGCTTTGGGCCAGCATATAATTGCTGTTGAGAGTGAGTGTGATGGCAGGCTGAGACAGACATTCCCACAGGAAGCTAGCCGTTCCACGTCGGTTGATTCAGATTCAGAAGAAGAAACTGAGTATTTTGATGGGATTGAGGAGCAGTGGGTTGTTCAATGTACTGAGGGGCAACAGAAGGCGATAGAGGTGGAAGAGATTAGTCCAAACCAGATGCAGAGGAGATCCTGAGAACAGTATGAAGATACATCCAGTGGGAGAGGCTGCTGAGACTGGGGAATCCTCAAATGGAGACCAGCTCCTCCCTTCATTAATAATATTGCCCATGGCCAGGCATCAGCAGAGGCAAGAAGCTCAACTGGAAGAGAAGCATGTGAAATGGAGGCGTGCACATTTCCACAGGGCCCCTTCCCCAGGGCTGGGGCACAAACATGTTCATAAGGCAAGTTTTGGGAAGTAATTGCTAGATTGGGTTCAACTAACCACTCTGTATATGCTTAGAGAATTGTCCAGATGATTAATGTTGCAAACAATAAAGAGTCCTTTGCAAAAGAAACACCCTGAGGCTGGTGATTGTCAGAGGGAGGAATGCACCTCATGACAATTGCTTCCTTCTGCTAATCTTTCCAGCCAGACCAGAGGCTTGAATCTATTAATAACCTCCCAATTCAGAGACGTCTCTCTCCTGTTTCCGACCTCGGTAACAGTTTAGCACTCTCTCTGAACTGCTTCTTTCTGATGCTCACCTCCTTTCTCTGATGCCTGGACTTAGAAGGAACCCCTCAACAAAGGTCCAGGGTATCTCATGCTCCTTAGGATATGCTTGTGACCTATTCGGCTTGGATTCCAAGGAGTAAGAGCTGGTTTCCTTTTCCATCAGCAGAGCAGTTCAGAAGCTCTGTTCAGATGCTGACCCTTCCCTAGTTCACAGTGCTATGAGGGGAGAGCAATGCCCTGCCATCAGCCCTGCCCTCCTAGTCCTGATGCATTGTAGTGGCGAGTCTGCTCTACATTCATCACTTTCTCCCATGATTTAGAAGACAGAGTCAAAGCCTTGCTTTCCGACTCAGAGTCATCCATTGTGTGAGGGTGGGGCCCGAACAGGTTTAAGGCAGAGGTAGGCCCTACATTTAGTGATCTGAGAAATTTGTGGGCACCTCCACAAAACAGACATGCTGCAAGTGAAAGCATCAGCCTGCAGCCACCTACCAGCTTCATTTCCATCCCAGGGGCATGCATGGGAGAAGAATCTAAGGCCCTTGCTTTGCTTGGCAACAATTCCAGCTGCATGTAAGAAATTTTCTAATCTTACTCAGATTAGAAAAAAACAAATTACAATAAGAAGTAAGAGGCTGGGCTACTTCAGCAGCCGCTGAGTAAACTGACCAGGGGCACACTGGTATTCCATAGGCTTGACTATTCCTGGCTTAGGGAATTCTGGGGCTCTTTCTTTAGACTTGTTCCCCAGTAATTGCAGCAACATCCTTGTGCCCAGGAGAAGAAAGGATCCTATATCCTAGGATGAGTGCTGACCCTCTTGAGATATTAAACTAATCACGTTGCATGCCCAAGACTTCTTGCCCTTCAGTAGTTGGTAAAGAGTGCAAAAGCAATGGATCCTTATACATATACAGCTTGTGTTTGCTGGCACCTGTTGTGTAAACAGGTCAGAAGCCTGTGCATAGTCACTCTCGAGTCTTTAAAGTATTAGCATACATGAGACCTCTTTCTGCCATTAGCTTCCTTTGCTTGCCACTCTTTTGTTCCTTCCACAAAAATAGTGTGAACGGCTTGCATTAAATCCCTGCTTCTTTTCATCCATATAGTAAGCATTTTCTCACTAGAGCATCATGACCCCCAAGACTGATACTGCTGTATCAAGAATGATGGTTTAGTAGCACCTGAGATGCCTTCCACAGGTCTATAAAAAGCACTGCTCAAGAAGGGTAGATGTACTAGAACAGCAGCACTGCACAACATCATGAGAGCCATAAAACAATCTCACATCTTTGAATGATCATACCTAGCACCAGATTTCCTGTGTTATCTAGTTGGTTGGCACAAGGGACAATGGTGTCTCCCATTGTGGAATTCATTTTCCCTGGAGTTCTGCCTGAATCTGTATATGGGGTGAAGACAGTTTTATTTCAGGTGCATGGAATTCTGGCTTTATTCTGGCTTACGTTTACTGCTGCACTTTATTCTTTGTGTTTTGTAGTGCATGGTTTTCATATGGCTTCTTTGGTTTAATTTTCCAGTATGCCACCTTGGCAATATTTTTAATCTGAAGGCCAAAACCAGCATTACTTTAAATCTGTGAGTTTCAGCTGTATTTTTTTTACAGTTACCCTTAAAACTCCAGATTAGATGCAAAGAAACTGAATTGTATCTGAAAACTCTTCTATCTTCCAAGCTAGGGTTCTGAGACAGATCAGAGCTCTTATACTCTTTCTAGGAGAAAAATGAAAGGAAGCATATTTAAGGAAATGTCTGTTTTGAGCCTGAAATGGAAGACATAAAATATGTTTATATGCACATCTATGTGGAACTATCATTGTGAATGTGCATGTTTGGGGCAAATTAGGTATAAAACAAATTAGTACCGTGTGCTTGTTAGTGCGTTGTGCTTTTATGCAGTTTAATATAGGGGATGCAGGTGGCGCAGTGGTTTAAACTGCTGTGCTGCTGGGCTGGTTGATCGAAAGGTCACCAGTTCAAATCTGCACAATGGGGTCAGTTCCCGTTGCTCCGTCCCAGCTCCTGCCAACCTTGCAGTTCGAAATGCAGCAGTTTAATATACACACAGGAACACACACACACACACACACACACAGAGCAGGGCAGAGAACTGGAATACTCTGTTGCATTGGAACACTCCAAGATGGGCACATCGGATGACTTCTGCCAGACACTTGCCGGTTGGGCAGATGTGGGGCCATTCCACACACATATCTCAAGTAAGCCACCCTGAGGCTTTTTGCGAATGGGGCGGCATAGAAATGTTTTAAATAAATAAGGATTTGCCCCCAGCTGCAGCACATGTTCTGGGACTGTGAGGGCTCTGGATCCTGTTTATCCAGGACCTCCCTGGATGCCCTTACAACATATCGCAACATACTGCCTTTCAGCACCCACACTGAAGTGTGTGCTTTCTTCAGGGGCTGACAGGGAGATCTGAGGTTGGATCACCTCCTCTGAAGTTGGACCTTTCTACCTGGCTTCAGAGGGAGAAATCTGAAATATCCTAAGGTTCTAGAATTGAATGGAAACTAAACAATTATAGATTCACAATTAATTATATAATACCTACCTATAACTATCCATATGACAGCATTCAATTTAATTTAATTCAGCAATTTTATTGTTTTATTTATTACAATATTTTAACTGTATTATTTTATTAATGTTATTACTGATTTTATTGTAATGGCTGCCCAGACAGCATTATGCTAAGAGGTGGCTTTTATACAAATAAACAAATGCATAGGCATAGAATGTAGTTTATTCCTTTATAAGATATGGTAATTCACTGCCCCATATCTTATTGAACTCATTTGTATTTTTATATTCACCCATATTAAACCCAGAGATATTTCCCTTCTTTTCTGTTTAGGGAGTACTGAACCCAATGCAAGGCTTCCTCTTCACACTGGCGTTTTATGGATGGACTGGTTGGAAGTTGGACCTGCAGTGGCAGAAAAGTGAGATCCCATGGGAGTCCATGTCAACGTCAGCTGCTGCTGAGAATGCCTATGCCTTGCCAAGCGGAAACTCTGTGAACTTCCATGACTCAAAGAAAACACCAGTAGCACCAAACCATCAGACTGATGAAGCCTTAAGCATGCTGTCTGAAGGTAACCTTGGCAGTGATGATAGGCTAACGAGGAACTCCCCTGTCTACCAGGGATGGTAAATGTCAGATTTGTTGATCCACACACATTCCTTGTTGGAAGGCATGCTTGCTTGAATGGGCTGCCAGTGAGATGAAAGCCCTGTCGGTGGTGCTATATCATGTTAAACATTGTCAGTACATGTATTCAGCTATCAGATAACAAGTGCAGAGGAATGTGCAGATGTATGCAAATATATGATCCAGGCACCAAAGGAGAGAGTATTCTTACCCTATTGACTCATCTCACCCAGTATTTTCATGATGGGACTCTTTCCATTCCTCTGTCTTCAAGTTACTCTTGCCAGAAGAAAAGCAAAATAAAAATGTCTGTGGGAAAAAATGAGAGATTATAATTTTGCCCTGTAGTGCACAAGAGTACTGCTATCAGAATGTTTTTCTGATGCACAAAACTTACCAGCATCCATTACTTCATTTGACAAAACTTGCTTTAATGTTTCCTGTAATTTTTATCATCTCGTAGAACATTAATTTTGTATAATAAACACAATATGGACTCTTCTAACATTAGTGGCTTTCCTGATTAATGGGGAATAAAGCCCTCACTATGTTGCTACCATTGCTTTTTATTGTAAGTACGCAGTTTTATGAACCTTAGTTCTGGACTTCCTCTTGTAGCAGAGGGAAGAGTTTGCTTGCCACTTGTCTTCCTACATGGAAAAGACCATTGGGTTAGATGCAGGATCAGGCAAGATCAGATAAAATGGTTTTGTTTACTAAAGTTTCCTCTGCCAGATTTTTGGAGATTCCAAAATGGGTCTTAATTCAAGCATATGTAGGGAACCAAACTGGCAAAGGCTGCTGTTTGCACCCCTCAAGAAACTGCCACCTCATTGTCTAATCCCCTCTCGCTAGAGTTACAAAAGTCATTGTGTATAACTTGTCCTTGACTGCATTACCAGTCACATGCCTGAATGAAATACGCAACCACTACATCACAGGCATCTAGCATGCTCTTCTAGACAAGTCTGTTCGACAAATGCTTCACTCAACATTTCCATGTTCTGTAGAATTTAAATCAATGATCTTGGCCGATGGCCAGGAATTCTGGACATTATAGTCCAACACAAGAGCTGGAGGACAACAGGTTGGGGAGAACTGCTTAGCTATTCCACTGTCAGCACTGCTTAAGGCAAGGAGCTGCACAGATGCTTTAGCCCACAGTTCCCATTAGCTCTGGACAGCAGAGTCGAGGATGAGTGACTATGGAAGTTGTAGGTTAAAAAGTAGTTGTAAGCCAAACCTTTGTCAGGCCAGAAGTTGACCACTCCAAATTGGATAGAAGGAACATGGCTCAAGGGCAGAACATATGCTTTTCATGATGCAGGTCCTAGATTGAATTCTGGCATTTCTCATTTAGAAGGAATAGAAGCAGAAAGCGGTGGGGCTGGAAGTAGTGATATGTCTGGCAAGCGAGAGACAGTTGACAATCAAAGCAGGTAGCATTGTTCTCAATCAACTAATGCTCAGATGCAGCCATGACATAGGTATTTATTTAAAACTTTTTTAGACTGTCTCTTACCATAGTCTTGTGATAGTTTAACAGTAAGACAAAACTAAAATAAAGCACACTGGTAAATGGAAAGCGGGGGGGGGGGGGTTACTGCTGCTGCACTATTTGCTATGAAAGCATCCAGCATCTAGGAAATAAAATTATAGACCTTTAAGCACTTAGGATGCTTTCCCCCTCACCCCGAAAAACAACAATTATCCGAGTTATTTGAAACAGTAATGTCTATTCCCTCATTGCACACAAGTGTTGGAATATAATAACACACGTCTGTTTACATAGACAATGGATTGGCCTTTTGGGTCAACATTTCAAAAGAATCATTGAGCAGGAACTCTCAGGCACATGAGATATCCAGCACCCAACTGTGCCGTGTGTGCTCAGAACATTTCAGTAAGCAAACAAACCAAACAGGCCTGCTGTGAAGCTTGATAAAGGTCTTTATGATCTCAGCCAGTTAGCTCCATTTTGAATCTTGGCCAGAACACAAGATGCCAGGGTGGGGTGAGAGCACAGCCTTGTGAGTTAATGGGCCAAATGGATTCTTTAACTGAATTCTTACTGGGGTACACACTAGCTTGGACATACAGTTCATCTCAGGCCACTTTAAAATGTCACATATAAGGTAGGGATGGGTAACCTTTTATCTGTTAGACACCACATACCTCCGTGAGTCATCTGAAAGAAGCAGACACATCAATGGTGATTTGGGCCAAGCCATTGCTTGAGTCATCCTTTCTTCTGCTATACTATTTTTCTTCCTCTTTTCTTCCCATGCAGTGGGGCCAGCCAGGGAAGAAATGGGTCAGCCTTGCCAAAAATCTCAACACATTGTACACTGAGAGCTTCAGAAATAAGGCTGAGGCAAACAGGTTGCCCATCCTGGCATCAGCAAGGATTTGGACATTCTGGGAAGACATTTAAACACTAAAAACAGGTTATTCACTCCAAAGAATAAAGAATGTCAGGGAAGAAATACTGTTACGCTGCCAGGATCCTGAAAAGTGGCAGTTAGAGTGGCTTAATCTTGAATGCCTGCTGCCCGTTCATGCTTTTGCTCTCTGATTAGCTCCTCTATTTTGTGCCCGCTCAATAACTGAAGTATTCTGGCCATTGTACAGATACATTAAAAACAGAAGATTCAAGACAGTAAAACTAGAAGCAGGAATAAAAACAGTGCAGAATGTTACAAGAACTTCTTTGTATGCATTTTAAACCTGGTTTTTGTCCCAGCTAGGGTTGTGTTACCTTTCATCACAGAGCCCACCAAGAAATAATTGCTTAAAGTAGCTTCAAACCATATATCCTGTCCTATTCCTGGCTATTCTTGTTGCTTTTTAAATCAACCCACTTCATCCTTCTTGAGGAGGCCATGGAATCGTGATTCTCCAGATTCTGAGGCTGGGAACTAGGGGCTGCATGAGCAAAAACATCAAAGTAGTCTTTAAACCAGTCCACAAAAGTTCCTGGAACTGAGAGAGGGATGTACTCAACTCTTCAGAGGACAAACTGGAACTGGGAAATAAGTACTGTATTCTGGAAAAATGCTGACAGGTGAACCATTTCCAAAATTACTGTGGACTCTGATTTAAAGTCTTTGATGCTTAGCTATATCTAGACTACTGGAATTTAGGAAATCTAGTCTGCTTAGAACTCAGCACAGTTCCAGGGACAGAACATGATGCTGTGGCAGAAGTGGGACCCACCTGATATGCAAGGGAGATTGAGCACTTCTCAGGGGAAGCTCCAGGGTAAGGGAGAATGTTCATTTTGGGAAGGAGGCTTATTGGTGGAGCCCCCTCTGTGAGGCTCACTCAGCCCTGGAAGCACTAAATCGTCTTCCAAGTGGTGGGGTCACTCATGCAATGCAATAGGCAAGGCATAGAATTGGCAGGAGCACTGGCACCCACTGGATTCTGCTCTCTCAGCCTAATATAACCGACATGTCCAGTAATACTTGGTTTTTCTTCTGCTTGAGTTGCTGAGGTTAAGTCATGCTGTTATTCAGAGAGGGGATTATACATGTAATTAATGTCATTTGATGCCAGAAGTAAAAAAAAAAAAAAAAAAAGGAAGGACAGACGGACCGACTAGAGAGCCGTCCATGTGCACATGAGTGAAACTCCCCACAAGAAGCTCACAGCAATTTGTGAGATAAAACACACACACGTGTGCACAGACCTCCCAATTAATGTGAACATACAATTTTGCCCATTTTCATTTTGACCAGCTAAAAGGAAAAGGGGAAGCAACTTGGGTCTTCTTCTTAAAGATATTTAACTAGTATAATTAAAAGCATATTACATTTTAAAAATCAGACAAAATACCTCTTGTCCTGTGCCACAATCACATTTTGCATGCAGAGCTGCTTAAACAAGAGAAAATAAAACTCAACAAAGTGGCACTGTGACTCACAGTAGTAAATGGCAAATTCTGAAGTGCACATGTTCCTCAGGGCACCTGCCATAGCCCCACCCCCAAGGAGGTCTAAACTTTCAGGTCCATATCAACAAAATGGGGCAAGCACATTTCATTGCCAGCAGCAGGTCTTTTGGAAAGCTAATCAATCTTGATTGCCTGTTCAAGACAAATCCATTCCCAAATACGTTGTGTTTCAGTAAGGTGCTATATATATACTGTTGCTGGGCAAAGTCATCTCCCCTCATCGGGGATTATAGCTAAGCTCAGGGGGAACAGGAAGCAGTGGGGTAGCAGATAATGTCAAGGACTCAGCTAATTTAAAAAGTCGGCTCTGGATGCCTGTGAGCAGGAACCATCACATATTGGGCAGTTTCACTCAACACCTTTAAAGCAGGGTAGCTGATAAGGCACCCCAGGGTTTAAATTAGCCTGGGGATCCCCACTATGTCTTACAAATGATTGGGCACAGTGGAGACCCTGTGGTGTCTTCTTCATCCTCTTTCTCCCCAGTATTTCACAGAACACAGCAGGAGCACTGAGGGCAGCAGGGCAAGGATGACAGCTCCCACAAAGTGCCCAAGCAGAACTTGGAGGCAGGATCAGAAGCTCCATGGTGCCTGTCCTGGCAGAAAGGGTTTGTCAGGATGAACCATGTTCTGCTTAGCCTCCTTGAGAGGCAGTCTTCGTGCAAATAACGGGGACATTTTCTCAGGCTTCTTCCTGAGAAGACCTGGAAGATCATGGCAATTCCTTTGTGCTAAGACATGTGAGATCAGTGTGTTTTCCCATTTTTCTGGGCATTCTCTGCAGTAGATGCAGCTGAATGTGCCGCCACAATGCACTACCTCCTCATACCCTGAGTAGGTTTAGGAAAGCAGATCTTGTTAGTGCCACTTGCATGCTTTCTGGCAAGCCCAAGCTTATTCCAGCCGTGTGGCAAAGTGGCAAGATTTGCTGCTCCCATTGCCAAGCGGTTCTGTAGCCTTCGGTGTTTCTCCAAGGTTTGTTGTATCACTGGACACATGAGCAACATGGCTCACCCAGGGATGGTAACAAAATCTCTGGTGACTTCATAGTCACAGAGAAGTCACCACATGGGGGCAGATGTACCAACTGGAGCCACCATGACCATGACAAGAAAAAAGTCATATGCATCACCTGGCTGAAATATTTTTGCTGCAGCTGCTTTGGCACTGGTAGAAAGGGGTAAAATAATTTCAGAAACAAAAGCTCAACTAAATACTTTACTTTGTCCCATAACCCTTCAGCCCAGTCATCCGTCCTTCTTTGTTTTGAGGTACATTTGCTTAAGGCACCAGAAATCTTTCTTTTCAGATCTGGTTCTTGTTCTTGATAGTTGCAAGTGCAATCAGCTTAAAATGTAATCATTATTCAACAGTTAATTCTCAAATAGAAAAAGTATTCAGCTTTTTAACATTTATATATTTTATGTTTGTTTTGATTTCCACAGCACATCAAACATCCACTCAGCACAGAAGAGAACCTAAAATATTCTCATTTAATTCATACTCTTTACTGAACTTAAGACATATTTTCAGTAAAAAGCTTTGAGGTTTTGCAAGTTTGTATGGAAGAATTCCTGCTTGATTGAATAAAGGCATTCTTTGCATTTTGAGTTATCCTTATTTATTTGAAGATTGGTAATATAGCTTATGAGCTGGACAGTCTCCATGTTGTGTTACTTTTTAAAGCAGAAGTCCCCAGCATTTCTGTGGATTCATGGGCACACCTGGAAATTTGAGAAACTCCTGTGGGAATCACCAAAAATCTCTACTCAATAGATTGCCATGTTGGTGTCTGTCTTTTGCACCTATGGATCTTTGCGCCTATGAATCCTATTCAGGAAAAACTTCTGTTTACTGACTGTAGGACACTGCAACATTTCCTTGATAAGGATTTTCTAATTTGGCTGATGGTTGGTGGTGCAATTACAGCAATTGCTTATTTGTACCTTATACTTCTTTTAAATATATGTAGTTGCTTCTTTTTCAGAGGTTGATACAAAAAAAATAGTGCCAAGAGTTTCTTTAATATTCATCGATATACTATATTAATTTCTTGCTTTTTGGAAATGGAAATATTTTCAGAATAAATGGATTGTCTGCACCCTTTTGAAACCAAAAAGCATGATAATACAACACTGTAAGGACAAATACTTACCTCCTATAATGTAATGAAGTGAGGACCTTTCACCGCTTTCAGTATTTGAACTAGTGGAATATAAAGTTACTTATACTTATTTAGAAAACTGTATACATTTCATATGTATTTAGTGGTATGGATGTACATAAATCTATGTATATATATTTAGGCATGTGCCGCCAGACTCTTTGCTGATTGAGAAATATGTTTCCCCACGCATCCATATCTCTCCTTCAATTTAATAAGAGATCTCTCTTCTTTGTTTTGCTAGGTTCTGATGCTAGCACAATTGAAATCCACATCTCAAGTGGAACCCATGAATTAAATGGTAATGATGCTGATGTTGAGTAATTGGAAAAGGATTGAACTGAGGAGCTGGAACCTTAAACATGCCATCGAGGAGTGACTCCCTATTTCTTCCTCCTCTGAAAATAAGATTTCCCACCATTCTTCCTGCACCAGTCCACTCACAAGCCTCAACACTATGCTTGTTTAACTTTTAACATTTTCTACTCCTCAGACTATGAAAAAACATGGAGACAGCCTGTGTTCAGAGTCAGAAGCAACTGTTAATAATCTAATCTACTTAAGTCACTGCCATATCTCACTTTTTGCTACTGAATTTGTTTGGGTCCATACCAAATCCAGCATATCAGAGCAAATACAACATACAGAAAAAGTACAACGTGTTCCTATTTTTACTCATTTTCATCTGCTGTTACTTTATCAATCATTTCTGGAACAGGTATGAATATACTCACACAGACTCTGCTTGGGCATTTTGGGTTTACATTATATTCCTGATCATTACTGGAGCATGTTCTAAGCATAGCAGGTCTGGCATTTGGTTGTGATGAAATTTGTGGTATTTTAAGGCTTCTGAAAACGATACTAGGTTGCCACAGGGCAGCCCAACTGGGACAGGTCAAGTGAGTGGTTAGAATACAGTCCTACCAACATGCTGATTTTGTGTTTCTAACACACAGTCAAGGACTAGTTCTAAAGCATCCAGTTTATACATTTTAAATAATAAACTGATATTAAAATGATTGCAGCATAAAACATCAGCTTCAGTCTGGTTTTAAGCAGAAATGTTCTACATTTAAAATTGTTTATTAACTTTTTCTTTTAAAATGTATAAAGTGATGTGCAATTGTTGGTCATTTCTGGTGGACTAGAATGTCTTGTTGTGAGCATCACATCACCTGTTTATCATCTTATACATTTTTATTTATCTAATGTACATACTTTTATTGAAATTCATTTAATTGTAACTTAATCCCCCCCCCCTTTTTCGGATAACACAAGCTTTACATGTTACTTGCGAACTGTAAAATTGATTGATGACCCACATTTGTGGGACAAATCCTGATTTAAAAAAAAGAAACAAATTTTGACATTATCATAATCCTAGTTATTATTGGAAGAATTACACATGCTTAGCTTTTGTGGTATCACATATAATACTGAATTATGAGTTTTCACATTAACATCAATCACAAATATATCTCACAACTGTGAGATCTTGCCAGTGGACATTATTTGCTTTCTTCTTTAAAAATTATAGGTGGTTGCTTATGCTAGGAATACATCACAATTCCATTTTTACATTGTGTGTGCATGAAATTTGGCAGCTGTTGCAGAATTTTACGACTATTAAACCCTTACAAGTGTCTAGTCCCTCAAGCTGTCTGAAAATAAGTGTGGATAATGTCTGTGAAATCTCACTAGGTGCACGAGTCTGTGTGTACAGTGGTACCTTGGCTCACAAAATTAATCCATTCCAGGACTCTGGTCATGACCCAAATTGGTTGTGACCCAAGTCAAATTTCCCCATAAGGTTCAATGTAAATAAGGTCAATCTGTTCTGTAACAATTTTTTTAATCACAAAAATTTGAAAAAAAGTGACAAAGAACAATAAAGTGACAAAGAACAACAAAGGTTGCGACAATCTCCCCTCCCCCTAGCAGGATCGCGGCCATCTCCCTCCCTGACCATGACTGCGATTGCACCCACTTTCCCCCCTGAGCACAATTGCCATCGTGTCCATCTCCCCGCCCCCTGAGCACAACTGCGATCGTGCCTGTCTTCCCTGCATGAGCGCGACTGCAATCACGGCCATTTCCCCATCCCCCCGAGCAGCCTTGCGCCCGTCTCCTCCCACCCCCTGAGCACAACCGTGATCGTGCCCGTGCAGGGGAGACAGGCGTGATAGCGACTGCGATCGTCACCCAATACGGAGTTAGCGATCTGTGGCAATTTTTTTCTGAAATTTCTGTTTGCGACCTGATTTGGTCGTAACTAAGGTGTTTGTGAGCCGAGGTACCACTGTATATATAGAGGATCTTTAGTGATCAGGGCAAATTCAATGACCTGCATATTTTCCCTCTTTTCCATCGTCAGCAAAAATAGAATTATGCTTTCTAAACCTTCACATTTAATGCAGGAGGCACCAATGGCCGGCGTGCGTACAGCTCTGATAAATATAAGAAGCAGAAGACTACAAAATGATGCAGTGCAACCAAAGGAAGAATGTTAGATGTTTAATGGCATGATGGGCAGGGAGAACCAAAAAACAACTCACACAGAGTTTTCTAATATCAAAATATAGCAATTTATTCAAGACATTGAATATGATCTGTTGATTCTCTCCTTGAAACAATTGAACTACAACACACAAGGTGATTTGCTGAGAGTGAGTTGTGTGTATATTTCTGTGTATGAGAGGGGAAGGGTGATTAGACAAAACAGGCAGTGGGCAGGGGAAGGGAGATGTCCTTTCAACAGAAGCTAGGAAATGCTGAAATGGGAAACCAAGCCTGGCTTCAAGTCTGACACAGACAATAACAATTCAGAAGCCAGAATTCAGACTACCAGTGAACAATTCTGAAATTGACAATAGAACCGCATTTCTAAAAGGCAAAGAAAGAAAGAGAAAGACAGACAGAAGAATCCCCCCCACAAAATGAAAACAACCCTTACCTTTGACAAAGTGCACTTCACTTGGCTCTAACGTTAGCTAGTTTATTTTTAAAATAAAAATCAATTTCTTAAATTAGGGGACTAATACTTGTTCAATCCTCTATAAAGACCCAGTGTTTACCATGTTAAAAATGCAGTATCCTCCTCCACGAAAAGCTTACCAAGCTATACAATGCACAGGATGCCTCAGAAAAAGGCCAGCTCAGATGCAATTTCTGCAGTATTTCAAAATTGGGTGTGAAGAAAAAGGAAGTATGATTTGTTGTTTTAATTTTCCAACAACTCTTTGGCGACTTAAACCTGTATTTAAATTCTAATCTTAATACCTCTTACAGGTCTTATAGGTCTACTCAGTGGTTTACTCCCACCTAAGTGGATGCAGGATTGTAGCTTTAATGTGTTATTAAATCATTGCGAGTGGCTGAGAGGCACTAACATAGCAGCATTTGTAAACAGAGCTGGCCTGGAAGTAATAACATTTCTACATACTGAAAATCTATAGTAGTCGCTTTATTACTTAGAAAAGGAGTAAAAACAACTGCTCATTTTTGAACAGAAAGACAGAACCAGGTTTGATGCCATGGTGGAATTTCTTTAGTGAGAAATATGAAGATTAAAAAAAACCTTCAGTGCATATAGAATGACTTAAAAAGAAGTATTTAATTGTAGAACTCTAGATTTATATATTCATAGGAATAGAATTCATACCTTGCTTTAAAAAAACAGTTTGAAATGTGTTGTTTTAGCAACACATGCCTTTCTCTAGGAGATAAAAAGGATACTACATCTTTAAATGTGTACCAGGATCCATCTGAAGTGTTCTTTTCAATGACTAACACAATCTGGTCTACATCTGGTAGAGATTTTAAGCTTCTAACATTGTGTTTAACTTAAAAAATACCTTTTTTTCTTTCCAAAAATACACTGGGTTCTTTTCTTTTTTTAAAAAGTCATCTTTCTCCAGTAAAAAGCGTTCCCGGCACTGCATTCTTACATAAAGCACTTATTACACAATTTTATGAAAGTGCCCTTGAGACTCTTAAGATGGGAAGTATGGAAGTATTAAAAAGAAAAAATAAGCTGGGAGAGAGAGAGTGGAGGGATAAAAAGAGGAGAGAAGCAGTCTGTTACAACTTTTCATTATGCCCACTGCCTGTATTTACTATGGGCATAAAGGGAAAAAGCAAAACAAAACAGACAAACAAAAAAGGGCACAGAAAGAAAGAAAGAAAGAAAGAAAGAAAGAAAGAAAGAAAGAAAGAAAGAAAGAAAGAAAGAAAAGATTCAATTCAAACCTATGTCTGTGATCCTCAAGGCTATAATATTCCAGCTGATAGAAAAACAACAACCACTGAACAAATAAAAGTAGTCTAGAAAATAGAAAGTGTTGTGATTACAAAGTTGCATGTGTCATCAGTACAAACTGGTCTTTGAACGTCCTTTGGGAGAGCAATTGTAGTGTCCAGATTGGAAGGAAAAAAATACAACACCACATGGAGGAGAATTCATTTTCCCATTTTGGTTCAGCAAAGCATTCTGCTTTATACGTTTTGTGTTTTGTTTTTAATTATTATTATTATTAATATTATTATTTTTGGCACAGCTTTTCCTCTTCTCTTCTCCAGCCATCAGAACAAGTTCTCAGAGACCCAAAGCAAACACGCCAGGGCTTGAGCCGCTGGTGGGCTCCTTGCTTGCTTCCAAAGGCTGAATATTCCGGGTGGAAACCGCCCCCGCCCCCAAGTGATTGTGTTTTAACTCCTTGGTGAAGAATATGGACAAAACATTGCAGACTTCGGTTGCCTGGAGAGTTGCTTTTGCTGCACACCCCAGGCTTTTTGTTTTCCATTCTGTTTGTTTCCCTCAGTTCTTGCAATTCTAGAAATCTTAAAAATAGTTTTGAAGAGTGCTTCTACCCACACATTCAACGCTGGTCCATTTGCAATTTCTTCTAAAATATTTACTTTCGCAGGTCTAGAACACAAACCTGGCCGGGGGTTGGGGGTAGAGAAAAAGAAAGAAAGTGTTACACTTTCTGTTAATATAGCTCTGTTGTGCTCAGGGGTAGCAATTCTCTTGATAATGGTCTAGGCAGATAGAAGGGAATACTGAACAAGGAGACAGTTTTATATTCCCACAAACATCCAGTTCCAAATATTCTTTATATAATGGAGGTGCAAGAGTATATCTCACACCATTCAGTAGTGGGTGACATGGGCCCTTATATATGTATATCAATCATATGTATATCAATTCATACAATCTTTTCCTTCAGAACAAGGACAAAAAAGTTGTTCAAAATCAAGCCTGTGTAGGAAGGCGAATATTGCAGGGACCCTTGGTTTGATTACGCAATGAATCAAAGCCCCTCAGAATCTTAGAGAAAGCATGCTAGAGAGTAACAGTTTCTGCCATTTCTCATAAAAATACCATTAAGATAGTCTAAAAAGCAGTAAAGGATACTCAGAACTCTGTGAGATGTTTCAGAAGACTGAATTTGATGGGAGACTTAAGTACCCCACTGGGCTCTAATCTCCAATTACACATAGACCTGAGTGCACTTAAAATTCATCTAGTTTATTCCCACAGACACAGAGATATCTAGTCCCCTTTTCTGCAACATGGACATTGTGCTCATTTGCTTAATAACAATAACGAAAAGCAGGTCTCAAAAGGCTTACCGATCCATCTGATGCACTAGCTCCCACTTTGTCTCCTCTAGCATTCCAGCAAACTTCAAATATTCCCCCAGTGCCTCGGTAACTATGTACTAGAGTGCCACTCTAAAATAAATGAATAAATCTTGATCATTCTGGGAGCAAATGTTTATTGCTATCTTTACGGTGAAGGTATGTGTGTATACATATGCACCTAAATTATGCTTAGATCAGTTTCAGCCACTGACCTCTGAAAACGTCTATGGCTCACTTCTATCTTTGAAGAGTACTATTTCCAGCCTAGACTTTTGGTCATCCCAGATGATCAGATCTTGGCTTAATATCCATCCTAGTTAACTAATCAATATTAAACTACAGCACCCTATTTTGGCAACATGGGCAGCTCTGCTTTAAAACAATCCAGAATCTCCATGCCAAAGTCAGTGTACAAGAGGAAAACTGAAGGAAAGGGATTACAAAAAGGCAACTTCATAAATCATAGTTAAGTAAATTCTTCATGTATGTGTAAGTGAATGATGGCTGAGCAACAACACATTTTTCTAGATGAAACATATTTTCCTGAACTTATTAATTTGGCTTCTATCCTAGATATGGGATAGGAATGGCTTTTGGTAGACAACCTTTGTCTGGAATAGCCAGGAAGGAATTCCCCCCTGATGATACTCCTACATTTCTTGGAGTCTTCTAGCATTGCAGACCATAACATTTTAATGCATTTCCTGGAATATCTAGTTGGAATGAAGGGCGTGCTGTTAGGATGTTCCTTGCCTTTCATGTTGGTCCAGCCTAGAAGATGACCTTGAAAAACAACAACTGTTTGATAGCTTCAGTTCTGTTGCATAGGGTGTCACAGGAATTAGTTTTATCAAGGCTGCTTAACTTCAAGATTAAGCCATTGGGTGAGATCACTGGGAGTTTTTTAAGAGCTGTTTCATCAAACAGTGACAACACCCAGACCTACTGTTTGTTACAAGTAGCACAGCTGCTTCTATCTTGGCTTCTGTCTGAAAGCCACAGTTGAAGTTCTGAAGCTGAAGTGAGTGAAAAATGATGAGCAGTGCATTCCTACATATGTCAACTCAGAAATGAGCCCCACTGAGTCTGAGGTTTATTCCCAGGTAAGAAAATATGTAGGCTGGCAGCCTTGAAATAAAGTAGATGAGTTGGCCTGTGATTTATGAAGGTGGTCCTGAATGTGGCAGGACCTGAAAGTGTTTCCTGATAAGCATTTCAGTTTTATATTGTTATTTATTTTATATTGTTAATTTTATATTGTTATTTTTGTATTTTATTGTATTTTATTTTGTGTTGTGAGCGCCCCGAGGCTTCAGCAAGGGGCGGCATAGAAATGTTTTTAATAAATAAATAAATAATAAATAAAAGGGATTGTGAGCAGTTACACTCAGCAGAAGGGGCTTGCACCCTTTCCTAGAAAATGGCACTCTTATTACCATGCCTTTGCAACCTTGAGGACTGAACTCATAAGCTCAACATAAAACTACTCTTGAAGATGGATTGGAAGCTGCAGCTCATGAAAAATCATTTGTGTGTCATGGGTCCAGTTCTCCCGCATGAACATTTCCCTGCCATTCATTAAGACTAAACTTCTCAAGAAGTTGCTTAAAGCCTCTTCTATTAATGAAAAGCTGTAGTAAAGGGCAAGGACATTTTCTGAGGTTGTCTTGAGATAAAAGCATTACAGAGAGTTCATAGCTCAACAGCAGACTACAAATTCAGTCCCCACCATTACCAGGAAAGGTGGGAGAAACTCGGTATCTGGAGCCCTGGAGAGCTGCTGCCAGTCAATGCTGGCAATACTCAACTGGAGAGACCAACAATTTGAATCAGTATAAGGCATCTTCCCATATTTCATGGCTGGCCAAGCAGAGATACAAAGGCATATTGCACTGCTAGGTTGTTGGAAATTATATTCCAACAAGTCTTTGGGGCTGTGATGTTGCACTCCGTAAAGTTACAACTTGTTTTGAAATTTTAACTGCTGCTTTATTGTTGATGCAGAGACTGCTAGTTTTATAGGTTATGATTTAGAGTTTTATAACGCTGCTGCAGGAAGCCACCTTGGGCATAGCAATGGTGCTGGATACACACGTGAAGCAAAACAAGTGATTTCTCATACACAGTATACCAACCTTCCCCAACCTGATACCCTTCAGATGTTTTGGACTCTAACTCCCATCATTCCTGACATTTGCCATGATACCCGGCGGATGATGGGAGCCCAAAACATCTGCAGGGCACCAACTTGGGAAAAGTTGCCATATACCTTTTCTTCCCTATGCAATGGCAGAGTTACTCCACAGAAGTCCTAGTGCCAAGAAAATTACTTTGTCAGTAAAGCTGTTTTGATACAACTGACTTGGTACAATGCTGTAATCTGAAACATCTGGCCTGAAAAACTGTGAAGAAAGTCTTGTTAATTAAGTTTTATGGCATCTTATATAACAGGGGTTTTATTTGCTTTGCAAATAAAACTGGGAATGTCTATAGAAGGCATTTTGCCCTCTTCACATGTTCACTCTTCATCTATTAATCTTGATTGGTTCATTGATTATCATATAGGAGTGGATTTGATTGGATCCTTTCCTCTTTTGCCTAGTTTGCATTTACAGTTATGCATAGAGCAAATAATTGGACACACTTCTCTCCTGCATTGCTGGACCTCTTAGCATCATTTTGTATTAATAGTTCTCTCTGCACCTGCCCCCACTTTTCTGTTAATCATACATGCATGTGCAAACTTGTCCCACAACAAGCTTCTTTGGTGCATTTTCTCATTTTTCATTTCATGTTCATTTATTATGTTTTGTACGGCCCATGAGTCAAAGTTCTCCAGGAAGTTTACAAGTTGGTACAGGTTTAGTATCACAGACAGGGCTACAGCCAAATCACTTCTCAGTGTTAGGATCTAAGTTTTACATACCTGTGTATTCCATATATGGACACATTTGTCAAAGGAACCACTGGCTAAGTATTTTCCATCAGGACTAAAAGCTACACTGTAGACAGGTTCTTGATGTTTGGTTAATGTGTGAGTGCAGATTCCTCTTTCAACATCCCACAACCGAACAGTAGAGTCAAATGAAGCACTGTTGTAAACAGTTAAAGCAAAAGACTTTCACACAGGGTACCAGCCATGCCTGGTGTTGAAAAACACTTCTATCAAACTTAAGAATAGTTTCTATTTCATGCAAGTATCCATTCCATCATGTCACATGGGAGAAGCAGGGGTACAGTTCCCCTCAATGTGGCTTCACATTGCAATGCAAACACTGCAATGCAAACGCTCAATGTGGCTTCACATTGTCAGACGGCACCGCTTGCAGTTTGGCAGATAAAGCAGTAAACCTGGATTTCAAGCTCCATTTAGTCATGGAATTCACTGGACGACCAATAAGGTTGTGTTATTTGCCTAAAGCAACCTTGCAGTTAAGGCTGAAGGTGAACCTGGTTGCTGTTGATGACCAGGCACTGCATGCAGGTGACTGATGATATAGTGATAAAGTCTGAAGTGCAGGGTCACTTCAGGGCAGTCCTCCTAGCCACATCCCAAAAGTCTAGTCCAAGGAAGCAGAGCCAAATCGTATCTACTAACTAGTTTTAGAATTTTTCCTATGCATCTTTTGTGAATGTGTCTCAATTTCTCATTCAAAAGCAAGTCGTGGCAACAACTGTGAGTTTTCCATTACAACAGGGAACACAATATTGATTGTTGCTGGGGAAATTTCATTTCCACTAAGCTGAAAGGTACTAGGGAGGGGAGTGGCAGATGAAGTCATCATTCCTGCTGATAAAAAAGGTGCTGCCGCTGCACACCTGGCAGCCCGGGCTCCTCTACAGCCCTGCAGGTAACTGCATGGAAACAGTGTAGGCAAATTAGTGGCCTGATGGACAAGGGACCGAGTGATCTGTTTCTCCTCTGCATCCAGCACAGAAGCCATACAGCTTGTCAAAGGAAGAGGAAAAACTAATCTTCTCTGTGCCCAATCTGGAAGCACCACGCTGCGTATTTTATCTACTATCCCATAGCAAGATAGCAAAAATATTTTGCTACTAGTAACACTAGGAGAATCACTTACAAGGTTGGTCTAATCTACCTCACAGGAAACTTGTGCGAATTAACAGAAAATACCCATGTTTGAACCCAATATCCTTGGAAAAAGGAGGAGATATGAATGAAATAAATTTGTATACAGCTAATTAAAAATGACAACTGAAGAGGTATTACTATTTATTTTTGAGCATGAAGAACCACAAAGGCTTGGGAAAATAGTGGTTGTCTTTCCCAGAAAGCTCTGGTGCAAAAGAGTACAAGCCACTTTTTTGCTGTTGCTACTGTTCTTACCTTGCCAACATGATACTGGAGTTTGGATTGCTGGTCCCTGGTCCTGTCGGACTCCATTTGATAGTATAAATCTCTTTGTTATGTGCCTGCAGGTCGTGTACGCACGTATCTTGCTTCATACTCCAAATCTATATAAAGAACCAGGAGGGAAAACATCTGCATTTTGCAATATTTTCCCCAACTATGGTGCAGTTCACTTACAAAATATATCTGCAGAAACCTGGAAGGTCCTGCTTTTAGAGTTTTAATATTACAAGAGAAACATGCACCTTTGTTTAAAAAATGGAATTGAAAACTATACAAGCTAATGGTTTACACAGGTCTTAAAAATCTGGTATGAAAACTTCAGATCAGACCTATTACCTTTAATGTCATATCATCTGAACAGGATGCTAGAAGCATGCCAGACGGATCCCATTTGATTGCATTGACTTCATTCTGAAATAAAGATTTCTTTGGTCAGTGGTTGTTCTGCAGAGAATGCACTGCACATTTTACCCAGAAAAGGGCTATCTAAGTTTAATTTATTATAGTAGTAAGGAAAATGATTGCACGTCAAGTCATTGCTTTCATTACTTCATTCATGAAAACATCTTTCAATGGCTTTTCAGGGTTTCCAGAATGAAGCCCCGCCTAAAGATTCCAGGATTTAAGGTTAGACCGTTTCATGAGAGCTCACTGTGTCCTCTCCAATTGTTACACATTATGTTTAAATTTAATTTATACCAGCAGCAAGTTTTCCTTCAGTTATATAGGAAAGCAAAACCTATTCACTACAGTGCAATCCTACACATGCTCATTCAAATATAAGTCCTATTAATTTCCATGGGTTTTCTTCCCTAGAACATGAGTCTACAGCCTAAATATTTATATAGCACCTGTGAAATCATGTTAAAATCCAGCTCAGTAGGGGATCAAAGGTGCATCTTCAGAGATTTTAGTTTTCAACTCCCAGAAGCCCCTGCCAGCCTGTCAATCACCAGGAATGCTGGGGGTTGGGGAACTGAGATGCTTCTGCCTGCCTTTGATCTCACTGTTCATATACACATGCTAGTAACTGGCACGTGAAAGGGACCATTTAATTTACCGTGTGGCCTTGAAATGTTTTGACTGGACGATCACAGCCAAGTCTACACACATGTATGCACATGTCAGTGCTACAAGATGCAAAAGTAGTGTTATTCTGCCAGTCTACATCCAGAGCAGGAGCTGTGGAAGAGGATGAATTATTAGGAAAATTGGCAAAGAAATAAATACCAAACAATACCAACTCTACCACCACAGTTTCACCAAATGATGGCTAGTTTGATTCTAATTCCACAAAGTTGTGTACTCTACACTACTGGAGCAGCATTCCTGACTACCAACAAAATGCCACAGTTTACTACCCTGAGTGTATGCAGTAGTACGCATGTGCTGACTTTCCGGAGAGGGGAACTGCGATAATCCATATAATCCTGCTTAATAACCTATGAACCACTTGGAAAAATGAAGGGTGTTGCAACAGGATGGACACAATGAGGATTCAGAAGCTGAAATTAGCATCTGGAAAAACACACTGCTCAAGCTACTTTTCAAAATAATATGAATAAAAGATATGCTTAGAAAAATTGTATTTGAACAGTACAGATGTGGCAGTACACGAACATAGTAAAATATGATGGGAGCTGGGGGATAGAAAAACTTCTGTAGACAACAGGTATGCACCATAAAATGGTTTTCTCTTAACTGAATTTTTGAGTTGGTGGTTTTATTTTTAATTTCCTTTTTATGGAATGTTATTGTTTTGAATTACTTTTTTATCCTATTTGCCACCTTGGGAAGCTTCCATCCTTAAGGTGACCTCAAAACAACTATACATAAAAAAGTAAGATGTTTCCAGAATTGTTGCTGTTATGCTTTGCCCTTGCTCTGAAGGTGCTAAAAAAGCTGGTTTTATTTTTAACATTCTGTAAAAGCATTGAGAAGGCAAGCAGTAATGCACTTGCTAAAAAGCTCTCAGATGTTGGAGTTCTTTTGCTAGCAGGAGCAAAGTCAGGAAGGTTCTGGAGCTTCCAGAGAAAAATAATTCCTTCCCATTTCTGGCAATTAGCAGGAAATATTCGGACACATTTAGGAGTACACCTAAATGTTACCAAGAGGCAAGAATGTGCTCAGGAACTGGGAAAGTTTTTAGACACTCCTATCCAATGATATCTCCTTCCAAATTCCCATTTTTCCTATGCCAATCTCAGAGAACATTACTGTGGAAACCTCTTCTATAGCTGGGAGAAACTAGTAGGTCCAATATTTAAAAAATGCTTCCAAGATCAAAGGTTCCTTCCTGGACAATTCTATGGCCTCAAGATTTCAGGGATTATAGGATTGCATTTTAAGTATAGAAGCCATGTTCTGATTTAATTTAATCATTTAATTTTCTGATTTAATTTAATAAGCTATCCATGTAATTAATGGCTTATTGCGATTTGAGATTTTCTATGAAAAAACTGTTGCCTTCTGCTAAAATGTAATAAGAATCAAAATGAAAATGTTTAAATCAACCGATTAAAAGCTATTTACCTGAATGAAAAGGAAATTGTTGCTTAGCTTCTCCTGTATGTGCATCCCAGATTATTGTCGTCTATGTTGGTAGGAGCAAATGAAAAGGAACAAAACAGATACATACACACCAGTGAGCATTCAATTATATAAAGAAAAAGGAAGCATTATTAGAAAATGCATTGGTGACTACTACTATACTAATAATCTTAAAATAATATACCACATAAATAAAGTATTAAGTATGTATATGAGATGTCACTTGTTATACAACAGAAGTTTAATTTTAATCTGAATTGGGAAAGGTTGCTTTGATAAAATCAAATATCCATTTCCCCATTTCCAACTCTCTCTTTAGCAAATTCAGATATTAAATCTAATGTAAATCTAATTTGTATACTGCTCGACAGCTGAACCTCTCTGGGCTGTTCACACCAGCATACTTTACACATGCACATGCACCCCAACTGAAACATATTAAAGCATTATCAAAGTGAGCAATACAAAATCTAAAATTTAGATTTTAAAATAAAAGCATACAAACAAAATTATAAGTTAAAAAGACCCTGCTAAATCCTGTCTAACAACCAGCAGGCCCCAGTAACAAATTAAATGCCCTGCTGGAGAGGATGAGCTTTACCTAGCACTGAAAAGATAGTAAAGTAAAAATAAACTAAACCCAGTTTTGAAATTATTTCAAGGAAGCAGACTATTATGCTGAATATATGGTGTTCATTCTTTAGGAAGGAATGAAACATGCAACAAAATGTTACAGTGTGTAGACCACATGTTCAGGGTTCAAGCCAGCCAGCCATGATCTTTTCCTGGTTATTCTATCCCATATTTCACTCTTGGTTTTTTTGCCCCAGGGATCTGTCGGCATTTTGTGGTCACTGATTATCCTCAGCCTTCCTAGGTCTGCTTTGGAATTTTTCCTGCAAAAGCTGTTTTGTACTTTTGCAAACCTTGGGGTTCCCCCATGCCTGCTGATAGCTGCTTCTCATGCTTAGAGGATGCAGTTTTTGTTACAGAAAAACCTGTACTTGAAGGAATAGTTTGCTCTTAGTGCATAGATATCTTAGGATAAATATCATCCCTTGATATGTTTTGGGGCATTATTTTCAATACCTACAAGTGTATGCCAAAAAGTTTAAAGGAGAATTCATGCCATACAGCAGAGAGGGTTATATTCAAGACAAACTACACATGCTACAAATTTACCAACCCTTAAGAGAGCAATCACTCAGTTTGATGAAATCAAGATGTTTTTGAAACACAGACCAGATGAAAAGAAAGGAAACTCTGCCAAATTTCCAAGAGCAACTGTAGCAAATGAAGTAGTAACATCCAAAAGCTTTAAGAATATTAGCTAATTTATATTTTCAGGTTATGTGTCTCAACACTCACCTTATCAACACCAGCACTTAGAATGTAATTTCCCTTTTTGTTCCACTTCAGAGCAAAGATGGGCCCTTTATGTTGACCTAAGGTGCTTGCAAGATTTCCTGCAATGTTAAAGAAACAAATAGTAATCTTTCAAATGGCCTGAGAGCTGAAATGATTCAGGACTACAAAGCATCTATTTATTTGGAAGTCGACATGGTTATATCTTACCATCTTCTGTCCATATCCTTGCAAAGCCATCATATGAACCCGTAGCCAGTAGAGTTCCATCACTCTGTAGGATACAAGCAAAGGGAATTAGAGACTATCAAATATACAACATACTAGGTTACCTGTGGCACTAATTTTATTTATTTATTTAGAAAATTTCTAGGCCGCCCCATTCGCCGAATACTTCAATTCTGAATTTTCAAAAGGGAACAAAATTAAGTGCTCCACTGAGAAGAGCTAGTTTCATTACTAGGTTTTGCCCAAAATTAAAGGTTGACATTCTTGCCACCTAGATGGAAACAGAACTTTAGAAACATGATTGTATTGTCAGAACAATTTAACCAAAGGAAGGAAACTGAGACATAGTTATCTTATTTTTAATTTGTCTAAAAGCCACCCATTAGCATGAGGTCTTTAGGAGGTGTTTTAGTAGCGTCTTCTCTCAAAACATTCAGCCAACAAATTTATATTCTGACCATTTTTTGTTCCTAATAAAAACTTCATCCATTAGAACAGGGCAAGAGAGAGACTATTATTCATTGAGAAATTTTAGTGTGTTTATTGATATGGAAGTTCCAATTCATTTTGATCATTACATCCATTACATCCTTTAAATTACTTCTTCCTTTCAGTACCAATTAAAAGATTCCTTTCATATAAAATGAATCATAGAAACTTCAAGGCTTTCCAGAGTATTCAGTGCTTTAGCTGCTATGACCTAATACTTTTCAACCTGCCAAGCTTTTTTTTTTCTTTTAGATAGTACCAATCTTAAAGTAAGGACAAGGGATAACATAATTAGGAATGGATGAGAAATTCCTTCACCGTTTTAGGCCTAATTCATATTTTCTGAATTTAAATATGAACAGAAATGCAGTTTACCATTAAAATCCATAAACAAACAGAAGTCAAATGCATAGATTCAAAAATGCACACAAAATTAGAAAATTGCTTGGGAAAATGTCTGAAAAAACCATGCAAATAAATGTGTACATTTAAAAGATGCATACAAAAATGTCTATGAAATATGTACACATTTTCACTTGTACAAAAAAGTATAAGGAGTTGAATTAGGATGCAATGAATTTAGCACTTAAAAATGAAAATTTGTTTGACCCATGCCTACTGGCAGTTGCTTAACTAAGACCCCTAAGCAGAACTGAAAAGAGGCATGGAACAAATGGAAGTATTAGATTCTTTTTAGCTGAAACTAGCAGAGACAAAACCCAGCTTAAGTTCTGAAATGAACTAATTCACACATATTCACATTTCATCACTTGATGGCTGACAGTCACATGTATGAACCATCTTCACTGAATGGTGCTCTAAATGAAGTTACATGTAATGCAACCTTCACCTGCAGCAAACACCCTCAGTTCTTTTAATGTTTCCTCACATGACTTATTTTCTATGTCCCTGACCATCTCATTTGATGTTTCTCCATTCATTCCAAATGGTACATCTCCTTCTTAAACTGCAGTACCCAGGACTGGACATGGGTGGCACAAGGATGTTTCACAAACATTGAATACAATGATTAGATTGTTCCTTCCTTTGTTCATCGACTGCAGTGATGGAGAACCTCTTGTCCTAGCAACCTAGACAACCACACCCCCTATATCTGGCCCCACCCCCTTTCCTTACTCATCAATCTGAGCAATTTCCCCCCCTCAAAAGTTTGTAATTCCTCTCCTACAGTTTAGTTGTTTGCCTTAAAAGCTTTGAGAAAAAATATGTCCTGCCCCTTTTGCTTTCACCATCTCAACACACCACTGGAATGCAGTCCCTTAGATCCTCTCTGAAAATGAATTGGTCTTCTGGCTGAAAGAGGTTGCCCATGCTGAAAATAATGTGTCATGCATTTAAACCACTGATCAGGGTTTACTTTAACCACTTATACTGATACAGGTTTAAATTCCTATTTAGCCAGCTAAATTACCAGGTAACCAGACCAGTCACTTATCTCTCAGTTTAACCTATTGCACAGTTTAAACTACTGCCTACTCTCTAATGTGTAATTATGAGCATGTAACAAAAGAAGTTTGTATTGCATCATATATAAGAGCGTGAGCCAGAAGACTCTTGTTTTATCTCAAAGCTCAGCCAGGGAGCAGCCAGGTTTCACATGGCTTTGAATATTACTGAAAACAACAACAAAGCCCTGATGCAGGACTGAATCATACTTCTGGCAGAACACGCAGAGGAGAAAATATCCTCAGAACAACTGGAATTTGTGTAGCTTACTACAGGGCAGATTAATGCATTCTCCCTTCCAAAATTGTTCTGTATGTTCACAAAGCAAAACTATAGATAATGGAGGGACCTGCTGATTAAAGCTTCTTGCAACATTCACAGTACAGGTGTTGGGTGTGTTCCTTTTGAATATCCATCCATGATTAGGCCAATCAGGGTTTGCTACAAGACATTCAAAACTGGGCACTTGGGCTTAATCCCAGTTAACCTGACTTCTAATTGTTGGTTATCTGAGGGTTATTGAACCCATGATTACCATATAGTGCCTGGATTCGAATGTCACAAAACTACACCCTTTCAATCTGATTGGTAGATGAATATTAAAGCTGGCACAGAAAATGGTGTGATTTAATTAACCCATGATGATATGAACCAGGTCAGCAGCTGCTGAGTAGGCCATCATATCCTAGCTTAACCATCATCTGTAAAATAGGGATAATAATATTGTTCTACTTAACAGGGTTGTTGTGAAAGAGTATAGGTGAAGAACTTTCCCTTTTGGAAAAACACAATGCATATATGAACATTATGCATTGTTACTGGCCCCAGAATCTAATTGTTTAAAATCCTTATGATGGCCTAAATCGAATGCATAGCTAGTGGGAGAAACTGATGTGCCACCAGTTGCAGTAGCTCTAAAGGCCTATACTGTATGCATAAAATCTGCATAAATGGAAATTGGCTGTACTTCAGAATTTAGTGTCTACTAGCACAACATTATTTATGCCAGAGGAATTACACTGTTGCAAACAGCTCTATGTCAGGATGAGAACATCAGCAAGGAACAGCAATTGCTTTTGGACAATGATGGGGGCTGCTACATAGACTGATGCCCTAATGTTTTTAATGATGTATCTCATTTTCCAGTCTTTTTGTTTGCATATGTGTCATTCACACTTTTGTGCCTTCTCCCAGAGCTGTGAAATCAGAATCAGAAAATAGCCTTGTCTGCCACAGCCCCTGGGAGTTTTAGACTTTACTTAGAGGAAATGGGGGAGGGACCCTTCCATGGTAGAGAAGGGGACAGCAAATGTGTGGCTACCTACACATTTAACTGTGTAGGTTAACTGTGGACATACACCACAGTTAACAACAGGATACAAGCTTTTTTCTCACTACCTTGGGAAGATGTGTGTGTGCGCGCGCATGGGGGGGTGGCGGGGGGGTGAAATTCATTGCAGACGAAAGTAAAAGTGCATTGTATGAATAAATTTGTTAGGCCTTAGGTTCAAGGGTATAAACCATTCATTAGCAAGGGATAAGATAGTATATTTGAATTATATAGGGAAAGCTCTGAAAAGGGTAAAGGTTGATAGTAAAATCTCATTGAATGGGAAAATTTGCTGGCACAAAACAAACAAACCTCAGAAATCAAACAAACTAAAATCAAAACAAAAACACTCAGGCATTTTGATAATATAGCTTTTGTTCTAATATAAACTCAATGATCTGGGTTTTGATTCCCCACTCTAGAAGAAATGATCCTACTTTCTCTGGGCATGTTCTTTCAATGAAAGACATCACTTACACAGCTAAGCTGACAATCCTCTGCTGCTCATTTTGAAGAAAGTTTTGTTGAACTCTGCTGTACTTATTTCTAAATTATTACTGCCCTGAGGCATTGTGAAGGGTGGGATATAAAAGCTTTAATTATATAAAGGTACACACGATAGGGCTTTAAAGGTGATAAAACAGGTACACCGGAAGTTGCCGTTAAAGCCCTAAATGGTTTTGACCAGTACCTTCTCCCATATATTACCCTTCAATAGCCAAGATAATTTTGAGGTTCTCCTTTGGGTACCACCAGTGACAGTGGCTATCAGGAAAAGAGAATATACTGTAGCATTGTTTTATCTTTGAAATATCTTCGCAAGTGCAACTGCTGATTTGTTCCTTTCCAGAAGCAATCATTTTAGCTAGTTTTCAGCTGGCCAACACTAGTTCCCCTTTCTGCCAGTAGGCACTCTTGTGACAGCATTGGAAATTCCCCATGGTATCTACTGGATGCATCATGTGACCTTGGTGTGTGATTGAATGTATGTTGTTGCAAAGGAATATTCATGGCAGTGGCATGCTGGGTCTGATCACGTTTGATGCAGCTTCCACTGGATTTTAATTATATCCTATTTTCTGCAGATTGTTGTTATTATTCTATTTCATCACATTTGTAGCCCACCTTTTTCCTCTTGTGAGGAACCCAAGGCAACTTACATTAGCTCCACTTTATCCTCATAACAACAACACTGTGAGGTAGGTTGGGCTGAGAGTCTGTGACTGGCCCAAAGTCACCCAGTTGGCTCCATGGCTGAGCGGGGACTAGAACCCAGATCCTCTGAGTCCCAGTCCCATGCTCTTAACCACTACACCACACTTGTTACCTGGAGCAAGACTGCAGGATAGGACTTCTTGCCCATTTTTTTTTTTAAATATTCTATACTGAATCTTGGAATTTTTGTAGATCACAAGCTGAGTAGGCGTTAACAATGTGATGCGGCTAAGAAAACACCAAATCCTACTTTGGACTACATTAACAGATGTATAGTTTTCAAATCACATGAGGCAGTAGTTCGCCTCCAATAATTAAGCCTCATCTTGGGTATTGTGTCCAGGTGTGGTCACTGCACTTGAAGAAGGATATCAGCAAGCTGGTGGGGAATGACAAGGATTATCAAGAGTCTTAAACTAAGTCCTGTGAGGAGAAATAGAAAGAATTTGACATGTTTAGCCTGAAGAAGAGGAGATGGAGGGGAGCTATGAGAGCACTTTGTAAATAGGTAAAAGCTATCACACAGAGGATGGCCAGGATCTCTTCTCAATCGTGCCAGAATATGGGATGTGTAATAGTAGGCTCGAGTTACAGGAAGCCAGATTCCAGCTGGATATCAGGAGTTATACTGATATGATAGGGGGATATCATTGCTATACTGATCTAACATCCTGACTGTTAGATCAGTATAGCAATGGAACCAATTACCAAGAGAGGTTGCTGGCTCTCCCACATTGGGCGCACCCAAGAGGTAGTTGGACAGCCATCTGTCAGGGATCCCTCAGGGATCCCTTCCAACTCCATTCATCTATGTTTGCATGATCAATTCTTACACTGATATAGCCCCCTTTCCTCCCAAAAGCCCAAGGCAGCAGCAACATAAGATGTCCCTTCTCCTCCTCATTTGACAGTCATGACAAGCCCTGTGAGGTAGGAAAGGCTTAGTGGCTAGCCCAAAGTCACTCGAGTAAGCTTCATGGCCAACTGGGAACTAGCATGTGAGTATCACCAGTGCCAGTCGAACACATGAACTTCTGTGTCACACCACAGCAGTTTTCAAGATTCCTTCCTCACATTTACATTCTTCTGTACAAAGGAATGGCCACTACATAGAATTGCATAGAGAAGTACTTTGCCCTGAAACCGAGCAAAATGGATCAACCTGCGTGCATGTGCCTATGCACCCCATAGATTTTTGTCATATATAAGCCACCCATTCATCACAGTTTGCCTAGAATAAAACAACAACAGGTTCAAGCAGAAGTATGAAAGCTATGCTGCCCTATATTTCAAATACAACTTAAGAAGTTTTATCAGTCAACTTACATTCCAGTCCAATGATGTTACATCCTTATTGCTAGGAACATCGTGCCCTCCTTCTCTTATACAGTGCCTTAAAACTAGTTGAGTGGAACTACCATTACTATTTTCGTTAAGATTCCATATTCGGGCAGTAGAATCACCAGATCTAGCAAGAGCAAATAAATACGTATTCAGAAAGTGTTTTAAAAAAGCAGCATAACACTAGCCTGATTTTTAAAAAAGGGATCTGCAACAACAGCAGAAACAACTTATAATCTACTGCAACAACATAAGCAGACTTTGAAACTATAAAGCTATTACATACGCCCCAGACACTAATTAACATGTTAAAAACATGCATAAAGAAAAATGACGGCAGCAATTATATTCAGAAGCAGAGCAGAACCGAGCTAGTCACTGCTCCAGGCAGCAATCTAATGAGGGTTATCCATGCAGGCAGAGGTTAATTTTATAGGGTGCTAAATTGCTTTATGGACAAGAGAGGGACAATTCCCCTGTGTTAGAGCACATTCGAGCACAAGGTTCCAATAAACAGTGTGAGGAGTGCTCAGGAGATCCAGATTAGAGATGTTTCAGATCAGTATTCAGTAGTGATATAGGACAGAAACCTGAACACAGTGAAAACTATTAGTTATGGATCTTAGTCAGGGTTCAAGATGGATGATTGGCATTAAAATAAACTGTACTCTGTAATGACCCATGTAAGGAAAGAGACAAGGGCCATGACCCTGTTGATACTCTTAGACTTCTTAGTGGCTTTCAGTGCTATTGCTTTCTTTCTGGGGAGGTTTCAGGTTCTGATCCACTTCCAAGCCCAATTCAAGGTGCTTGTTCTAGCCTATAAAGCCCTGACTGCAGTAGTAAACAGAGTGCCTCTTCCAACTGCAATATACCCCGACATTACACTTAGCATCTGAGGCCTTCCTTCAAATGGTACCTCCAAATAAGCTCAGTGGGTGGCAACAATGAAGAGGACCTTCTCAGTGGCGGCTGCCCAGTTGTAGAACAAACTAACCACTGAGGTTTTCCTGGTACCAACTCTGTTTTACCATCTACTCTCCTTTCTGTACCAGGGCACTGTTGGATGGTAGAGAAATAAACAAATAAACAAAATGAAATTACCCTGAAGCTAGCAGATCACTGACAGGATTCCAGGCACAGATGAACACCTCAGATTCGTGGCCCCGAAGGACTGTTGCTTTATTAGGAGGAATTTCAACATCTCCATCAATTTCCATTGGCTTTGAATGATTATCTGCAGGACATACAAACATTTTAGGTACATCATCATCATTACCATCATCATCATCACTGAAACAGCCCCCCCACAAGGTTTGTTAGCTATCTCTTTCAGATTTTTTTAAAAAAGCTACACCACACTGCTTCTTATTCAGCAGTGATTTTGACCAGTTCATATTTTAAAACATTAACCCATTTAATTTGGATAAAATCCAGTGCATTTATGATAGCTCCGTAGATACAGATTTTTCTTCCCAAGGTTAGGGAAAATGTAACACTAAATTGAAGAACAAGTTTTGAACAGGTTATATTTCATGCTGTGATATGAATATAAGTGCTGATAGGATGGGATTAATTAACATTTTTTAAACAGACACACAAAGGCACACACAGAGTGATTAAGTTCTGTTCCCATTTGTGCATTCCAAACTGTGCAATTAATGGCAAAGAATTCCATGGGGGAATGTAGGTTGCCAAATATTATTTATACATGGGTAATTCCCAGGCTAGTCAAGCATCTAAAGAAGCTTTAATTTTGAGAGACTGCCAAGTGGCATTTTGGAGGACAGCAGAGGGAGAGCTAGGGGGCAGGGAACAGTATGGGTGATTGAGAGTTGGGAGTAATTCGCAAAAATATATATTTTTTCCAAAGGGCTCAACGTGGCAATGTAGGAACACCAGAAACTGTGCTGCAGTGTGAGACCACTGGTCTACCTAGCCCTGTGTTATCGACCCAATAGACAGCAGGGTTTTCTACATCCAGGGATTTCTGCATGCAAGATGCTCTACCATGGAACTTCAGCACCTCCTTTTGTTCTTATATACACCCTGAGATGTGTCAGGCTGAGAGAATGACTGGCCCAAGAAGACCTCGTCACTGGAATTTTAAGTCTGGCATATACACCTACATCCAAGTCTCTATCCACCATACTGCATGTCTGCCTATGTGAGGATTTTAACACATGCAAGCCTGTAACCTGCCTTATATTGCCTATTTGTGTGCTGACATACGTATTTTTGGTCAAATGATAAACAGCCCTATTCTCATCAGGTCAGATATACTGACCTAGCTTATTATGGCTTATTTATGCCATGATAAGCTGTGGCACTCATGGACTCCTGCTTCCATATTTGGGCCTTAGTCCCAGCTTATTCAGTTGTGTGAACCCAGACCCAGCAAGGCTGCACTGCTGGCATGATTAACAAACCACCCACAACCCTCAAACAGCCAATGGGTTCTGGAAGGGTCTTTATTATTAATTTTAATGTAAATTTACCAAAACAAAGAAAACCACAAGAAAGGGAAAAATAGTTTTCTTACAGTAATTTAACTGAATCACTACAGTAGATATATATAAAATATGTGTAGTACTACAGCTATCAATAGAAATGGTTATGCGTAAACTTCAGTAAAGGAGGACCAAGTATCTAATTATTTATCCACGTGCAGGTGATGCATAAATATCTCAAATACTGAACATGTCATAAATCCACTGTATTACAGGACATGGAAATTTCTTTTTCAAGAGTTTTTAATATAAGTCCTTTGGCTGTGAAAGGGGCATGGAAAATCCACTCATGCTGTCTTTGCGGAATGTTCCAAACAGTAGGAAGAATGTGGAATTTGGAAGAATGTGGAATTTGGAAGAATGTGTATGTAATTAAATCTTAAGGAGCACTGCATTACTAAGATTACTAATACTGTTATCTGCACTGTTCAACACCAACACAAGAGAGTGAAAAAAGTATTAGCACTATTAATATTATACTATTAAAAGGTAGCTTAGACAAAGTGGTATTAAAAATAAATTGGGGTGCCAATAAACACAAAAGGAAGTATTTCCTGAGTAAGACATTGGGTGCTTTGTTAATCATGCCAACAACCCAAAGTTTCTGCCTTTGCACAACACAAAAAGCCATGGCTGTAAGGTTGAATATTCAAAATGCCTGAGTACAAACACCATTAGGCTCCAGGGCTAATTAACCCATGGTGACTTAGCATGATGTGCAAACCAGCCAGTTATCTAAATGCAAGAACAGAGCTTTCCAAACAAAATTTTTAAAACTGCAGATGCTGTGGTTATGTCTATTTCATGGTTAGGAGCTATGTACCTCTGACAGACCTAGCCAGGCCGTTAGTGCTAGCAATGCATAACGACCATTGTCCCTAATCCCCTTTCCTAACACCTTTCAGTGTACGAGGGCCTTAAAATGTGTAAGAGAATGGCTATATAATAACTATGGTTTGTGCATTCACACAGTAATCATTTTCAAGGGTCATGAACTTAGATGGATTCTTCATATTTGGGCCATGCTTTTAAGTAGATCAAAATTCTGCCCCAAGCTAATCCAAATCCTTGTGTCATGACTCCTGCATCCTGAGCCAAGAACGTATTGATTTCGGCTTTCGCTGCAGAATGACTCAAATTAGATACAATTGGATATATTTGCACAATGTCTACTACTCTTACACCTAGAGAAAGGTGATAACATGTCTGTTCCATGACATCCTGTACAGCCTCTTTCCCTGGGCTTCAGAAATTCAAGAGATTTAATCCAGAGATGTTCAAGTCTCCCTAGATCCACAGAAACTGGAAGGCTTAAAAAAAGAATTTGTAGAAAACTTTGTACAAAACTTTGCCAGCCAGCACACTCACAGGAAATGTCACTTGGACTTACTTATTGCATGTGCCCCGTTCTCCTCTCCATTCACAGTGGCTTCTCCATTCTTTGGTGTATTCTGCTGTGGGACAGCGGTTGCCGTTGTCGTTGCTGTCGTGGCGGCTGTAGGGGCTGCCGTGGTGGCAGCAGCTGCTGCACTAGCTTGCTGTTGAGCTAATTTCTCCCTGAAGGCCTGCTGCCGGGTCTGTACTACGTCAGGCATGACTGCATCTATAAGCGATAGTGACTCTATAGGTCTGCCGTCAAATACTGTACCATCCTAGAGGTGTTTCGGGGTGGCAGCAGTGGAGGGGAGAAGAGTGAAAGACAGACAGTTAGAAGGCTGGGTCCTTTTGAGAGACCACACTACACACAAGTGAATGCAAAGCAGAATACAATTATGGAGCTGTATGCAATGGCATTCTATAGAGGAAGGCTCTTTTGAAGAATCTCTGGGCACAGGGACCAAAGGTCTTTGTAGGAAACATAAAAACAAAAAGAAAGATAATCCTATGGCTCCATACATCTAGACTCAGAAAACTTGGATGTTTGCTCCCAGATATATGCAACAACACAGTAGATCATGCATGTTCAAAGAGCATTGACAGTAGTCCGTGGCCCCCAAATCCTTGGCTCTGCTTTGATCAAACCTGATATTTTGGGACCTTTATCCAATCTGCTCCTGGATTTTATCTTCATTCCCGAGAAGATTAATAAGAATATAACCATGCACTTTTATCTAGCCTGACGCTCCCACTCTTCTACTCCATGAAAGATCCTGTGGTTTAGCATTGTGAAGTGGAGAGTAAATGAGGTTCAGGTGTGAATACAGGAAGAGAATAACAAGCAAACGATTCCCCCAGTGCTGCGAAGGTGATGGGCATGTGCAAATGCAACAAGGAGCAAGACAAAGCCTTCATTTTAAGGGGGATACATTTATGTATGTGTCAAAAGAGCAGGATGGCCGGGAAGCAAAGAAGGCCTTTTCATTGCATGGAGAAGTTGGGGTATGGAAAGTCAGAAAGGGATCATTTTAGAAAGATGGGCAGCTAAGCCAAGGGATACCCTGAACACAACTCCATCAATTCAAGAGACGCTCCAAGTGAAGTGTGAAATGGAATACAGTGGCTGGCCTCTTCTCCTTCCTGTACTGGTGCTATGGGGAAGCAAAAGTCTGCTTCATCTACAGCTAAAAATTGAGCTAGCGGCAGTTTTCTTCACATGTGGAAGCTGATGATGCAATAACTATCTGGGTCAGGCCAAGTAAAAATAACCAAGCATAAACAATTTTGCAGTTGCTAAATAAATGATCCATGGCATCACGTGTTTATGGTCTCCCACTGCTGGCAACAGCAGGCTGAGCAGAGTATTTTCACCCTGAAATAACTGATAGAAGAATAATATAACTACTCATCAAAGAATAATTTAGACAATTCCAAACATGCTTGTTTGGATGCAAGTTCCTTTAATTGCCAGATAAATTTACGTTTAATTCGAATATTGAAATAGTTTAGTTCTACAGAAGACAGAGAAGAAATTTCTCTGGAGGGGCAGCATCATTCTACATTGTTTATTGGCTACTGAGGTAATAAAAAGCAAGAGTTCTCACGGGTTTAAAGCCAGGACCATTCAAAATGCACTTGTGCTCGCTCGCTCTCGCTCTCGCTCTCGCTCTCTCTCGCTCTCTCTCGCTCTCTCTCGCTCTCTCTCTCTCTCTCTCTGTGTGTGTGTGTGTGTGTGTGTGTGAGAGAGAGAGAGAGAGAGAGAGAGAGAGAGAGAGAGAGAGAGAGAGAGAGAGAGAAGAGAGAAGAGAGAAGAGAGAAGAGAGAAGAGAGAAGAGAGAAGAGAGAAGAGAGAAGAGAGAAGAGAGAAGACAGAGACAGAGAAAAGAAAACCTGTAAGGATAAAGATCTACATTAAAGTGATCATTGTTTCTTCCTATCAGCAAATATACTGATGAATGGGTGCTTTTTGGAGCAGGGCTATAGTTCCTCAGGGAAACTTGAGATTATTCCTCTGAATTTTCAGATTTTCCCCCTCCCTCCCTCGCTCCCTTTCTTTTTACTTTCCTTCCATGGCTCTAGGTCTGTGTAGGTATGCTATCCAAACAGAATGCATCAGCATGCTGAGCCTCTCCCCAACAACTTTGCATTGGCCAGTCCAACCCTCCAAATCCCCAGCTTTTCCATACTGCTTACTACCACCTCCAGCAGAGAATAGCTTTCTACTTGTGTCAGCTTTACTTGGCACAATCAGGAGTCCTGATAAAACAGGATTGTGTGCTCCATTTCCAAATGTCTAATGGAGATATCTATGGAGATGTAAAACAATTCTACTGTATTCCACTTTCTTCATGGCTCAGAAAGATGTAAATCTATTGCTGCATTCTGGCCAGGCAAAGAATTGACAAGCTCTAGGCACATATTTCTAAACAGTTGAAAATTCTTTGTAATTTGATTCCTGTTTAATACAGTCATGTAACTTTAAACTTATTGGATCATCTATATTTAATTATTGACTGTTCTGTATCAGTTATCCCACAAAGGAGGAATGGTTCCCTCATCGGAATATTTCATCTTGCTTTTGATGTGAAGGAATTGTTCCTAGGAAAACCCACAAAGCAGCACCGTACAAAAAGGCATCTGGTTCAACAAATCTACAGTATCTGTATTTTGCCAGGAAGGCAGTATCAGAGCCAAAAAAAGGAACATTCAGATTCGGCCAACTAAGATCCTTTGGTTCTAGCCCCATCCTCAGCTTGCCATTTTCACTGGCTTAGACCCCGATGTGCCCTGGCATCATCATCATCCCACTACCACAATTTCTTTCTGATTATGAAAATGAACAGTCTGTGCAATATTTTTATACACAAAACTCTGAGGCATTTTAATATGTACTTAACCATCTCTCAAAAGCTCCACCTGTAGTTGGAAAGCTTCCAATGTCATCTAAATTATATATTCTATTTATCACCCATTCATTGGTTTACCTGTCTTATGTGCTTACATGAAAAATACAATCCATTTGAAAAACAAGTAGGTGGCATTGAGAAATTGAATTCTGTTGAAAGATGTACAGATTGAAAGTGACATTTTCAAATACAGAAAACATCACCACCAGATAGGGAATAACCCTCATGAAGGAGAGGGCTTAGAAGAGAGTCAGTTTGCCCAATGTACCTGTAATATATACAGGGTTGAACTAAAACAGCTCCCACTCTTTCACTCATACAATATAGCTTAAGGCAGGGAGAACCTCAAACCATCTGGATCCCCATGTGGATCAGGAATATGGGTGCAACTCTAATCTAGCACCAGAACAAGACATTGTCCTGGTGACAGCAGAAGCTGGAGTTTCAAAGTCCACACTAAACACAGATTGTACTTGCTCTACAGAAGCTCTATTTAGGGCAGAGAAAGGTACACTGCTGCGGGCCTTCCACAGAGAGTAACCACACTCTTGGGACTATTGTCTTCTTATAAAACAAACTACACGGGATGTTACAATCAGAAAGTCTCAAACCAGTACCCCTCTCAACAGAATGTGTATGTGACTCCCCCACTTAGAAAGAATGGGTGCCTTCGGTTCTTATTCTGTTATGCCTCCAGACTAGAACCCAGAAGGCTTTACCCACAATACTAAATTAGGTAGCTTAGCCAATCAGCCTAAAGTAACTTGAGTTTAGCACTGAGAGAAGCCATAGAATTCTAAGCACGCAATTTTGGGATGAAAGGCAAGGTTTATTAAAAGGATTAAAAACAGGGAAAGGGAAAAAAGGCAAAGTCAAATACAGAATAGCTTACTTAAGATTACCTTGGTACAGAATTTTAAAGCAAAACTCTTAAGTAAAATGCTAAACTATCCACCTACTTACATCACCTAAGCAATGGGTCCGCACAGTAAGGCAGAAATCCAATTCAATCTTAGTCAGTTGAGGAAGGAAAGGATACAAAGACTTCAGATAGAAGGGGAATCTTTCTCCCTTTCTCCCAGTGGGGGAACCGTCATCCCACCAATCACCTCCTGACTTGTCAGCTATCAGTTCTTTTCAGCTGGGCAGATTTCCTTTGATCAGTCACTCTCCAATCCCTTGACTATCTAGCCATCTCAAGAAGGCAGGTACCATCCCTCCAGCAAGAAATAATTAGGGTCAACTGAACTCCAGTCATTTGGCCTTCAGGGTACGACAACCCAACCCAGACTGATAAGCAAGCCTTCACCAACCCTCCTCCCTAGAGCAGAGCCTCAGAGAGGACAAACAATGTCTTGGTCAGCTTTTTTCCATGCTCTGAGACTGGATTTTTTCATAGTTCCTGATAGTGATTTCAGTTTCTTTTTCCTACCTTATTGTCACTTATAGTCTCATGTTCTTTCCCAGCTTATCAGCTATCTAGTTAACTGAGAACACTTCTGGAATATTTCTTTGAAGTATGTGTTATTTATTTAATGTTAATTAACTATATTTATATAATTACGCTGACAACTTTTCACATAATATGAGAAACTATAATTTGCAGCATAATAAATTTCACCAACATAGGAAAAGATAAATATATCTGAATAAGTACCTTTTCCCATTCATCTAAGATCATCTTTAGATGCTCTTTCCTAGCTGCTCCCACACATAATGGTATGATGGGTCATTCCAGGAAAAGACCTTGTTCTGTTGTGTTGCTTTCCACCCCCAGAAAGATCTACCTGATATCTTCACAGAATACATTTAAATGGCATGTTTAAATCTTCCCCTTTCAATGGTCATTTAATCTTTAATACTCTGCTTTGGTTATTAATTTTACTGATGACATTTTCAAATTTCAATGTTGCACTATTTTAATATGATGGCATTTGTAGTGTTGCATTAATCTATTAGCTGTTGTGGTATTTTTGGGGTTTGGGTCTTTATATGACTGTAAATGGCCTTGGGTTCATCTGTCTATGGGATGGGATATCAGTTTGATAAATAACTAAACTAGATGCAGAAATGGACTGAGAGGTAGGGTAAGAGACAAAGCACTAGTGTAATGTGATTGTAACAGATGAACACTATTTTCTGGACCATTTTTCAAAGGCAGCCCTGCACATAATGCAAAACAAGGAGCTTAAAGGAGAAGTTATTAAAAAATGGGCAATGGTATGGTATGGAATGGTCCAGGTACAGTCACAGCTGGCATATGAGACAAAGCTGCCTGAGACTCTAGGGATAATGCCCGATCAATTACTACCCCTTGCATGGCCAATCTGTTAGGGGTAGGACAAGCTTTTCCAGAATGGGCTGAACATCATTCACTTAACTTTCTTCTGAGTCAGCCCTGTGCCACTGTCTAAAATCAGCTATCCGGTATCTGAAGACTCCCAGATCACCACTGCACTAATTAACCACTATTGCTTTCTCAGTCACCAACAAGAGTAGCAGAAGTCAACCCCAAATCAACTGAAATTAAATGCCCTTGATGCCAGATTCACCACTGCGACCCAGGCTATTCACCAGGTCATTCCTGTACCAACTATATACAATACTTAAGTAATATAATGCTTCTTAACCTTTTCCTTCAAGTGCTACCCAGAATCCAACTGCCTTGGGTAAGCCAAATGCTTTCATCTACTTATAGTCACAATGGAACGGAAGGAGTAGGTGAAGTCAGCTGAGCTATTTCTGCTGAGAAGACAAGTTCAGCACTCCCACTTCCATTTGTTTATCTTGGTTCTGCACTTCTTCTGGCATGTTCATGATGTCTAGATTAGCAACAGCAGCAGCTCTCTCCTTTTACTTAGACCATGGTTTCTAACTAATTGCCTCCTGCCACCAACAAAATGGCTTCTATTAGGGAGAAGTGATTTTGGGTTTTCCTGACCTGAAAGGTTCGAGTTAATTCAAACAGACACAGTTACACCGTTCATCATCTATTATCTGCAGCCAAGTAATGCATTTTCCACAGAGTAGCAATGACACTTACCTCATTGATGCTTATCTCTGCTTCCACATACTGCAAACCTTTCTGAAGTATGGAAATGAGGGCAGCAGGTGGCACTAGTGTTCCATTGATGTTGGATTGGCTAATATGACTCTCTATTCCAAATGTAAAGGCTGAATGGGAGAAACCTGAAAGCAACAAGGGAAGCCATGATATGAAATCCAAACATTCCACATTATGACACCTACCCTAAATACAACACAGGTTAAGCCTGCACCAAGTCAACCAAAGTGTGATTTGCCAGATTAGTTCAGCTCTCTACACAGAATTACAGTGGGTTTCCTCCTAATGTTTCATTTTCAAACATAATTTACAGAGCAAGTGTACCAGGAAAAAAAATCTTTAGTGCTCGAGGTGGAGGGTGGGGAAGTATTTTTAAACTATTTTGTATGCTTGAATTCTTTTTCATATGTAGTTTGTAGTTATCAGGAAAGATGAGACAGACATGAACAGTGTTCACAAAGGGTGATTATGTCATGTAGGAAAAAAAGCATATTTTCTCTCTTCTGCACTCACAGTTCTCAGGCAAGTATAATTGTTCTAAGAGGAAGTGAGAACCAAACTACTCCAAAAGAAGTCAAGTTTACCTACTTGCATCTTTTGTTTGAGGGCAACCACAAACTGAACTGTGGGCAGGGCAGCTACAATGTGGCCAATGCTATTAAACATGACAGAAACAGATGGAGTGAGCATCAGATTCAGACTCCTCTTTCCATGTCTGCATTAATGATAGTTCCCAATAATTGTAGAAATAACCAGTCACATGGACATAGGTAAATGGGAAATGGCATGTGTGTCTCTGATGTGTGGAGGTACATAGCTGGTCAGGAATCAAGCATCACACAATGGACAGCTGCTCCTGCAGTTGGAGCTTCCTTTCTTTCCTCCCCTGTAGCTCCATAAGCCCCCCCCCCCACCTCCCCTGGAGATCCCTCAACAAAATTTGCTCTTCGACAGAGTCGCTATTACATTTGGCTTAATGCAGTGACATAGTGGGGACCCACTGTGCTAAGATGTAGATGGGCTGCTATGAAGAGCTGGTGTAGCACAACAGCGTAGCATAAGTGAGACTCAGGAGAGCTGGGTTCCAGTGGTCACTTGGCTACAGGTGATGACTTTGAGCCACTTACGGACTATTATCCTATCTTACCTCAAATGGTCATTGTGAGGATAAGATGGAGAGGGAGAGGAAGATCATGCAAACCATTTGGGTTTCGTGAAGGAAAGAAGGTGGGATAGCCATATAATAGATAAGTAAATATGACTAGGCAAAATATGAATTTGAAAATAATATAAAATGATGTAAAATTGTACAATATGCAGGAAGTCCTCACTGTACCCAGAGGGCTCTTGCTGGTTCCTCCAACTTGAGTTAGAAATTGAAAGATCTATCTATGCACAAAGAATTCTATCCTGTTCTGCACAAAGATTTTTCCAAAACACATCTGCCCAGCACAGAGAATTTTACAGTATCCTGACCAATACCTGGAAGAACTACCTAGAAGTAAAACATTTATAAATGAAATGAATAAAACTCTAAGTTGGAAGCATTAAAACATCCAAATCCAGACCAGCAGAGATAAAAACACAGAATTATTACAGATGTTGAGATGTAAGTCTCTTCCGTTTTTTTTTCTCTACCAGACTTAGCCAAAATCTAAAAGCAGTTTTTTTTTTTAATTTGAGCTCTGTAGGTTACAAAACAGCATACATCAAATTAACACTATACTTGAGCTATGAGAGTAGTGTCTGCCCATGTGAAGAGCTGCACCTGCACTAAAACACCGCTCTTACCCGTCTCTTTGGAAAGATTCTGACTCCACCCTCAGGATTTGTTTCTGTTGCTTGAGGGCTAGATGATGAGAACATTGGACATGTCTCAATTGGTCTACTTGCTTCCTCTTTCATCTTACAGGGGCAAGGAACTCCCACTGAATTTCCTCCCATGCAGTTCTGAAATCGCTCTCTCTCTTTTTTCAAGACAGGGTGGTTCCCATGCTTTGTCTGAGTATCTTCATTTTGTAACCTTGAAACTGCAAGTTATCTGCCCACCGCTGCCTCTTCTTCTGAACCTGAAAAATCTATCTAGGGTGATTGCAACTTGAGAAAGCTGGGCCATCTCTCTACATCAGATTTCAAAGACCAATATCAGCAACAAAAAAGCAGATAGGAGTAACAAGATATTTAAGGTCCATTTAAGGGTATGTTAGAAAGTATCCTTTAATTTAAATAGACATGTATTTTACATATATATAAACCAATCACATAAACATTGACAACTTAGGAAAACCTGATACTGAAAGAGTAAAAGATTATAACGAAGTTTTTGAAAACTAATCTTTCTTTTATTAAAGCAGAATTTAAAATGAATTAAAAGCACGCATCAAGGGAATCAGAGCTGAGAAGGTAACAAGCATTTAAAGTAAAAGGTGATGCTGAGTATTCATAGGAAGGGGTGATGAAGAAAGTGTGACACCTCAAGGAGCAGTGAGGTGTCTCACTCCTAGTGAGATAGATTTGCATGTGTGGGTGCTGATTCTGGGAAAGGAAACATGAGTTGTGGGAAGAAAGAACTTGCAGCCTGGCACTTTGAATGGGGGAGAAACATACTTGTGTGATTGTGACAAGGTTTTACGAAGAGAAAAGGCAAGAAGTTTGGAAGAAAGTGGATAATATCAAGGAATGAGAAAAGAGAATAATTGGGGTATGAGTCACTTAGAGGGAAAATAGAAGAAAATGCTGTGATTTACCTCTCCGTATCTGATGGAATGTGAATATCTGCTGAGCTACTGCTCTAAAGAAAAAAAAAGGAAGATAGAGTAGAAGAAAAGTGGAAAGTGGAGATTGCACTGCTGAGTGGAAAGTGTGTGGTGTCCCTCCTGGATGGAGCAAGCTTCTCTGTTTTCTCGAGATCTTGGTTGTTCTTTTATCTTCCTCGGGTTTTAGTAACCAGAAATAAAACAAGTCCTTATGGGTCATTCTCATTAATGGAAGAAAGAAAGCAACACGTTCCTGTTTCTTTGCTGATATAAAATAAGGAAGGAGATTGATGCGAAGTACTTTGCATATCTGCTGCTATCGTGGGTCCAGTGAGTAAGACAGCATGGGGGATTCTGGTGATTGTCTTAAATTAAAGTGATGGAAGATTCATATATGTATGTATAGTTACACAATATTGGATTTTACAGCTTTAGAAAATACTGAATTCTTTTTATTCACATTTGGCTTAAACCAGGTTAGAAATTAGGACTGAGTATTTCCCAATGGGGGCTTCTGTTGTTAGTAGCCTAAAGGAGGTCCCTCAAGTAACAAGTTCCCAAGCCATTTAGGGCCTTGTATGTTAAAATACACCCTTTAAATTGGATCCAGGCTTTAACTGGTAACTACTGTAATTTGCACAGAATAGGAGTTATGCAGGCACATGAACTAATCCCTGACACCAGACGTGCAGCCCTATTTTGTCCCAGTTGAACTGTCCAGAACATCTTCAAAGACAGCCCGACATAGAGCACATCACCGTAATCTAGTTGGGATGTTACCAGCACATGAGTAACCACGGTAAGGTTCTGTCTATCCAGATAAGGCCACAGTTGCTGCATTCTCCGCAGCTGAAAAAAGGCATTCCTGGACACCCAGTCCACCTGAGATTCCAGTGAGGGTTTTGTGTCCAGGCCAGGAGCACTCCCAAATTGCAGATCCTGTCCTTTAGCAGAAGTGTGACCCTATCCAAGACAGGACAATGGACATCTAATCTGTCAGATAGATCATCTGCCAATAGCACTGCTGTCTTGGACCTCATCCAGTCCACTGTTGAACTCAGTCACTGGTTTAGCACCGAAGTCTAGATTTGATGTAAATGAGAGGCAGAACTGAGTGTTGCATGCTTCAGCTGACTGGTGACTTCCCAGTGCTTCATTGTGACAAGTACCTATAGTTGGACTACTAAGATGGGGAAGATCACGGAAAACATAAGGCAATAGGAAAAGGTGGAATGGCTACAAAATGCATTCTCACTGAGAGGGCTAGGAGTACAGTTGTACAGATTCAGAAAAACTAAAACTCATTAAGGTTGTCTCATTCCCACCTCAAAGCTTGTTCCAAGTTGTGTCTGTATCAAGACTGAAAGCTTTGCTTTTGCAAATTCTACAAAAATTTGGACATATTTTAGCACACATTTTACTGATGTATTAACATATCAGTCATGCACTTCATTGTAATATATACAATTACACCCATTGATTATTTCTGCACCTTTTAAAATGCATACATTTTTCAAATCATTTTTTGCGAGGGAAGGGTGACATGAATCACACTGTAAGCTTGGAAATGTATGGACGTCAACTGCAGATTACATCTGGCATGAGCATTGGGTCCTCTGTAGGGAAGCACCTTTATTTTAATATTACGAAGAAATTGAAAAGCATGATAACCTCTGTCTCATGCAGGATGCTGTCTTCAAATGGAGAAAGGGACAAAGAATTCTTAGCTGAAAATGTCCCCACCTGTCAAGAGCCTGATTAGTTTATAAGCTGTGTCTGAAAATATAGCTTCCCTGTGCAATGGAACCATGTCATGCTGTGAGCTACATTGTCTTTGAAAATATATGTAACCAATCCAACTAAATCAATGGCCTTTTAGAAGAGAATCTCCTTTTGTTTTTCTGTACAGCCTCTATTCCATTTCTGGAGTAGATAGTAGGAGGTATTTTAATTGCTCATTTCAAATGAAAGAAGAACCACCAGTTTGAGCTGAAGGAATGAAATGAAATAAAGCATCAGAACAAGTGTTTAATGCAGAAATCACTTGATTGTATATGAGGGTACAAGTCAAAGGTTTGTCTTCTTGTCCATTTCATTAAAGACATGTCAATATCTCCTTTCTTCTCAATTTTGGCTGCCTATCTCATAAACATCCAACTTAAGGACATCAGAAGAGCCATGTTAGATCACACAAAATTCCAACAGCTCCAGCATTCTGTTCATACAGTGACCAACCAGGTGACAGCTTCTAGCATGTCTTACATTCTCTTTGGACAGCACAGAGCAGCTCCTGTTCCTAGGTCATGCAGTTCCTGTCTCAGGAAAACTAATAACTCACTTGCTTCAAAAAATCACCACTGTTTGGAAAC